GAGAGCAGGGCCTCCGAAATAGAGCACGCAGATCCCTTGCCAGAAAAACAAAGACGACGCTCTACTGAAAGATGCCTGCATCGCTGTCAGCACAACCTGGATTTTCGCTTTCCAGCCACGCTAACCGAGTTGGTTCTGACTTCTGAGAAGGGACCTGAACCTTTTGCACGCAAACCGTGTGCGCTGCCGTGGAGCTTTCCATCTGCCCCACCAGTCTGAGTCCTTTTCTGACCACAAGCGCTCTCGATCATTAAACTTGCTTGCTTTTCCATGTAATTAACAACATACAGTATGGATTGTCCTTTAGAGTCCTGTGCTGACTTTCCATTATTGACACCAAGTGAGATATAATTAAACGCACAGCTACATCAGAGAAGCCCCGAAGTATAAAAGACGCCATTGTCGGGGCTGAGACGATCCACAGCCCCTACCATCTTCCCTCATCATGACCCCACCGCTTCACGCTCCTCTGTTTCGCCTGTGGAAATGAGTGCAGCAGGGGGCGAGGCCAAATCTCAGCCACGAACTGGTTAGAGGATTCGGGGCAGGCCTCTGTTTATTCACCCCCAGCCAAGATACAGTATGGCCTACCTTTCAGGGCTGTTGTAAGCCCTCCGACCGTGGATAAATTGTAGGAGGCACCAGCATTAGGTAGGCATGGCAGTACAGGAACTCAAACCCGAATCCTTCTCAGGTCGATGGGCATGGATTCTGGGAGGTTTCACTGCGGGGGTAGAAATGCCCCCCCCCCAGCATTGCCAGTGTGGCTGAAGGCTGTTAGCTCCTGCATTGTGCAAAGTGCTTTTCATCTGACCAGCCGCACTGCTTGGTTTGGATTTACCTGCAGGGCAGCTAGGAAGAAAACATCCTTTTGGCTGGCATGTTGAGCCCAAGGGCCACGTCTCTTTTGGAGGCACTTTTCGGCCGCAAGGGGTATGTTCCACTGGTGGACGGGGCAGAAAGCAAAAGGGGAGGAGGTCCAAAATAGCACGAGTAGCATCTCAAACGTTTTCTCTCAGCTCAGCCTTCCTTGCAGGATTGTTGTGAGGATGAAACGGGGAGGGGGAGAATGATGCATGCCGCCCTGAGGTCCTTGGAAGCAAAGCAGAATATTCACATAATAAATGCATTAAATCCAGGATGTGCGCGCCCTTGCCTATTACACTTGTTCTCCTTGGCTCCTGTGACGTTCAGGAAGTCATTGGAACACACGCTCCCGTATCTGTATCATTCTGCCTCCTTGCGTGCCATGATTTAAGAGCGGCACTCATTTGAAGTCACTCGCATCGCTTGTTATTGGCTTTGGCTGTGCCCTTTGAGAATTAAGCCATCCGACACGGCAGGGCTCGTCTCGCCGTTAATTCATGCCTCTACGGTTTATGGAAGTGCTCCGAGAGACACTGCATCATTTTCTGCTCCGGGGTTCCTTAATGTGATTATATGTATAATTTGCCTTGGTGAGGAGGAGCCGGATCCTTCTCTCTTTGACATTAGCTGGGAAAAGCCCCACAGAGTGGAGCTGGGACAGGATCTGTCCTCAGGAGATGTTCTGAGCTGAGATTTCCTCCAGCTTCTCCCTTAGCTCGAGTCTTATTAAATGCACTAGTGAAGTTTGTTGATTAGAGGCGGTCGGGGATTCTTCCCAGTCATTTGAGTGGCTCAGTCTTTTCTGCATGGTTGGTATTTTGAGGGAAGTGTGCTTGCACAAAGTAGGCCTCACTGAGAAATATGTTTGCCCTGATCCAGCCCACTCCCAATTTCCTTTAGGGTGGGGCCGCCCCTTAGTTGGGGACCCTCCCTCTGCAAGCTGGGAGTACTGGGTTCTGTTCCCAGCATCTCCAAGTCGGAGCATGAAAACCCCCAGGCTGAAACTCTGGGGAGCCAGTGGTAATTTCCAGCCTAGAGCAGCCGGTACCGATCCTGATGGATCAGTTGTTCTAACAATGGTAAGACACCATGCTCTGTATCTGCACACAAGTAATATTCAGGAAAATAGGTTTATTCGGGAATGCATTGCAAATCATTCAGAAATATGCTTTTTGTGGGATTTTTAAAAAATCCCTGCAAACTGATGAGGACATGGGATGGAATCACTCGCAGACAAATGCATGCGAAGGAAGCTCTGCCTTGAACAGGCAAGGTTCACCCAGACCTCCTGCTAGATAAGGGTGCGGAGGTTGCGTGCTTCATTTTCCTTTGCCGACGCCTTTCTGTCTCGCTGGGTCTGGGCAGGGGCAAAAGGCAACATGGCAGGAATCACCTCCCCCATGCCCTCCCCAGCGTCGTGTGAGACTGCAGCATTACGTGATGCTCTGAGATGCGCCTTTACGCTTTTCCTTGTATTTCCGTGTGTGTGTCTCTCTGCCTTGAAGGCATTGCTGAGTTCAAGGGGGACTCTTGCAGCAGAGGCGTCCCCTCCCCTTCAGCCCTGTTGCAGCGTCTGGCTCAAGAATCGTTGCCTGGGCACACGGCCCTCGCCCGTCTCCAGGTGCTACCACCGGCATGCTGAATGGATCTGCTTTCCTGGGAATAAAGCCGTGCACGGAACTCCTTAAAGCAGAGACGCCACTGGTTAAAAAATGCAACAAAGAAAGGACCAAGCTGCCCTCGGGCTGGTTGGACCATTGTCCAACGAGTCTTGTACTGTTTTTCCCTTGTGTCTGCAGTGTGGTGTTTGTCAATGCCTCCAATGCCCAACGACTCCTCCTGGCTTTTATTTTCTTTATTTCTGCTTTAAATTAATGGGGAAGCTGGAAGGCGAGGGAGCGAAGAGCCATCTTCCAGCACCATCTTTATGAAGGTTCACCAGGGCGGTTTCGTGTGCAGGGCTCCCCGCCGCCTGCTCCACGTCTCTGCCTTGGTTCATCATCCATGCTCCTTTCCTTTCCATCTCGCTAATTTGCCCTTTCGGAAAAGCGTGTGTCCTGACCAGCTGCACCCAGTGTGGTCGCCATCTTTTGGATGGCAAGCTTGCCCCATGCCATGGCGGCCGTTTTGTAAAAGCACTCAACATTCCCAACGGGTCTCCTGACCCAAACATGGCTGGCCTAAGCGTGGTTCATCTGAGCAGATCCACTCCCGGGGGCTTCTGGGAGGAACCGTTTTCCCCGGCAGAGCACCTGAAGCTGGGCCGTTCGGCACGCAGAGTGTTCCCTGCTCTACACTGCGACCTCCTCGAGAAGAGGGGGCTCCACTGAGGAAGCAGCCCCCCAGCGTGACAGATGCAAGGCCTCAGGCGGCTTGCGCAGCGGCTCTTCCCATCCCTCTCCGCCGGCTCGGTGTTGCCAGCTGGGAATCGTGACAACATGGATGGGAAACCAGATCAGGTCGTGGTGCTTTCTGCGTGGAACGCGTGACCCAGCCGGACCTTGTCCCCTTGCAGGGAGAGAGAGGGATACTCCCACAGGAGGAGGACACGCGCCCCTCTCCTCCTTGCAGCTCGCAGGTGTTTAGGACAGGGAAATACCATCACGCAGTACAAACACAGGTCGCTTAGCAACCACATCTTGCAGTCACGCGCCTTTGATCTGTCAGGAAATCACAGCTGAAGTTTGCGCTGCTGCTCTGAAGGGTCCACTTACGAGGGTGGCGACAGGGGAAGGGGCTCGAATGGCACCCTTCTCCCCTCTCCTTGGGCCAAAACTCCACGCCGTCTTGCTGTTGCTTTCAGGCACCACCGAGAAGAAGAGCCCTGCTCGGGGGAACAGTGCAGGCGCCCACCGATCAGCTCTAGGGGGCGGCCCCACTGTCTTCCCAGAGGGAGAAAAAGCTCCCTCCCCCACTTTCTTCACTTCAGGTGTAACTCTGCACACCTCTTTCGTGTCTCTGCTTATTCACCTGTTTTTCTAAGATAAACAGACCAGCGCATCATAGCCTTTCCTCGTAGCCAAGCTGTTCCAGCCCCTTGGTCAGTTTAGTTGCCTCTTTCTGCACCTCTTCCAGCTCTACCGGATCTTTTTCCCACTGCATTCCAGGGGCACCTGCACCACTAATTTCTGCATGAAACAGTTTCATTTTCAGTCGCTTTCCTGATGATGACAACGGTGGAATCTGCCTTTTTCCACACCTGGGCACAGAGATGCACCGTGCGGCACATGAACCCAAAAGCTCTCTCCATCTCCATTGCCAAGATCCTACCTGCATACCTGGCACCTGCCCACACCCTTCCTTCTCTGAGCCCTCGTGTTTGGAAGATCACCCAAACTGACCTCCATGGTAGAACCCACAAAGAGGGAAACTGATGGGTGAGCGTAGACCGTGTCATGCACGATGGGTCAGTGGCTGTTCCGTACTGGCTGCTGCCTCGCACGGAGTTAGACCCCGTCCAGCTAGCCCATGATAGGCCACCCTGCCTGGTGGGCTGGGGAAGGAGTGGCCCTATTAAGGGAGCTGGCCTGCCACTCCTCTCAGCCCTCCCCAAGATGGCAAGTGAGAAGGAATGGGGGTGGTTCCAGCCCAGCTACATCTGGAAGGCCAGGGACTGATCCTGGGAAGCGTCTGCGTGCACAGCATCAGGTCTACCAGGGAGCTACAGGCCGCTGCTACTGCACCAGATTATATACAGAAGACATTCCTTCAAGACTTTTCCAGGAACAGGAGCAAAAAAGCGGAGGATCACCTGTTTCTTTCCAGGTGGGTGCCCCGAACCCAGACAGTAAGGGCACAATCCTACAGTATGCATGTATAAAACAGAAAAACACCTACAGTTCCAGGCACGCTGCATCCAGCTGTGGATTGCCAAGTCGTGCTCAATCAGTGTGACATCTCGGTCCTGTGCATGTTTGGAAATGCATAGATGGGAGCTGCAGGCTGTTTCCCATCTGAGCATGCACGGAATTGTGCCTTGAGCCACTCTGGCTGCAGCCTCGGGACACGGAGAGCTGAGAGCTTGTTTATTGCAGACAACAGTGTGATGCATTCAGTTCTCAGTCCATTCAGCTCCAAGGACCTTAGACTGCAGCTGCGGATCAAAGGTTCGTTTTTTGAAAAACGCATCTCTAATACAGAGAGGTTCCACCTTTTCAGAACAGGGGAGAAAGCTGCATGAAAGCAGGGAAACAACCAAATGATCTGAAAGGGACAAGATGCAAAAGTTAGCTGGGCTGGATTCGGCTCTCCGGCCTGTAGCTGTAGCTTCATGTTTGACTGCCTTTAACTGCAAAATTCCACCTCTCATCAGCCCAAACTGACGAAATGAAGCTATGATAAAAATAACTTTTATTGGTAAGAAGAGAAAACTCCCAGGATAACAACTGGCTCAGCAGGGGCAGCAGCCATCAGCCTACAAGTATAAAAACTCAGCGGGGCCAAACTGCCTGCAATACTTAATAAATGGGTTATTCCCAAGAGCAAGGATGGAGCAATCCATCTCTAAGCCTGAGCCTGAAAAACACAACAAAGCATGAAACCCATGTGCAAATTCATCTGATGCTTGTGCACAGTGTTTTTTTTCCTGGAAAGTGGCAGTCCGTGATTGCTTCCCTGCACACGAGTCACTGCATCCATGTAGCCCTCACAATAATACAAAGAAACCCATCTTGCACGCTCATCACGATGTTACAAAAAGAGCGATCCAGTTGTTTCTAGATCGAGGGTGAATGGCCTCAATCCCCCCGAGTGATGGACTGCGATGATTGATTTTAAAAATTCAAGGCAGGCTGAATTGAGTATGCCCTTGGCAGAATCCGCTCCCAAAGACTTACTGTATTAACTGTGTGCTCACTCTTTTCCATCTTGCTGGACAAGCACACCTGGATACTTATGGCTTGCCTGGATTTTGCAGGTTGGAGATTTCATAGATCTATTCTGAGTAGCACAGCATTTATGGGAATGAAACTGTAAAAACTCTGACATGCGAAATCGTAACTTTGCCCCTTCACCAGCAATTTTTGTGCATGTCTTTTAGCTCTGACTTTCTTACTCCTGGATGATGTCCATAAACTGCTTCCTATAGGGGGATTTTGTGGAACCCACCCATACAGGAAGTATTCCTTTGCAAAGTGGCCCGTTTTGCCCTTGGTTGGGGGACTGCCTATCCAAACAGGTCACTTTCTGCGCTGAGCCAGGTCCTCAGTAACAGTCTGCTTCGTTTTCTTCCTTGTTCCCTGCAGCAGAAAGGATGTCTTGCAAGAGCGACCGGGGACTCTGCTCCAAGTGGTCACTGCTTACATCCAGGGACCGCTGCAAACCCTCCAGGTCTATCGTCTCTAAAGTCAGGAGCAGGCTGTCGGCATCCTGGAAAGACCTTTCAGCAGAATCCCCAAAGGGAAGGGCCAAGACAGACGGAGACGCTCCCTGCGGCTCTTCCTCTGTCCCAGCCGTGGCATCTTGCTCTAATCGCCTCTCCTGCTCCAGGCAGCTGTCTTTGCAAATCTTCGATTTCACCACTTGAAGGATCTGGCAGGCTTTCTGGGCCACCGGCCTGTCGCAGTCATGCAAGGCTCCGAAGAGAAACTCCAAGAGCTTCACCCGGCAGAATGTCTGCAGCAGTTCAGAAGGACAGGCGGACCCTCCAGCAGACGACGGGCAGGCCGTCCGTGAGCCTTCCAAAAGCCCGAACCGGCCAAAAGTCTGGGCAGCAAACACTGCGGCCAGTTCCAAGCCAGTAAGCTTGACTTCCCAGTCCAAGTCTGCTCTTGCAGCCTGGATCGCCCCGGCAATAAACTGCTCAGGATCGGCCAGCACTTCGGGGTGGCCTTCTCGTAGCCAGTCAAGGAAGACGCTGATCACGGCTCTGCGAGGGAAGCCTTCGGGGTCGGTGGACAAGATTTCCAGCAAGCGAGTGCCGACGCCGGCCTGGGGAACGGGCACAAGGAGGAGGACGGGGATCTCAGCACAGCTGTCACTGGCACCTCGCTTCGCATCTGTGCATGCATTTCAGGCAGGCGGGGCTCAGACGCACTCGCCATGGGCACCGCCGGAACGCACCGTGGCACACCGGCAGCACGAATGCATCTTTAGTACAATGACCCAGGCAACTCATTGCACGGATGCAATCGACCTATTTTAGGGCTGACCGTAAGACACAGTATCCGTTCATATTTAACTGCAGTGCAGAAGCCAAGGACAGGTACTGCCCAGAGAGCATAGGATATCGGGCGGTACAAAAATAAACATAACAATATTAATAAAAATGTGCAAAAAATAAACATAACAATAAATGAACAATACACCAAACTTTTCCAGTGCACTGAGGCATAAGTGAATACGCGGTGAAGAGCCAATTCTCAGTGAAGAGCCAAGAGACAGCTAGGTCCCACCAAGCTGGAGCACCTAATATCTTCCGTGTGCAACGCTCCCACTGACTTGGTTTGGATAACACAGGAACCCACACCCAGGAACGAAGTACAGGCTGAATGCCGGGCTGCTGTGTTGTCCGGACCAGTTGCGCTAACCTGTTAACAACAACAACCCCCGAAGAGAACTCATAGTGTGTCGCTGGGCCGTGAACTGACTTGTTGCCTCAGCTTGGTTCAGACCACCTGTAAATAACCCATAAATGTGCAGTTTTTATCCTACAAATCAGAGGAGGACACGCCATTTTCCAGGGAAGACAAATAGCTTCACTGCCCGTGAGGGCGGCTAGGCCAGAACAGGGGTTCCCAGTGCCCTGGCACCACCACTGAGAAGGCCCTGTTCCTGGGGCAGAGCCAGCGGGGGCAAGACAGAGGTCAGGGCCGCCCAGGTTGGGTAAAGCCCGGCAACAGCTGATCAACACACTGTAAAATCGCGCCCCGAAGGGCAGAGACCTCCACAAGCAAAACAAATCGTGGAAATAGGATCAGCGCAGCGAGCTGCCGCTGCACAGGCCGACCTGCGTCCACACACTTTGGGCTGCAGGCAAAGGGCCGCTTCTGAAGCACCTGCCAAGAGGGCTGGTTCAGGGACTGTGGCAGCGTCTCCCAGGCTGGGCAAGACCAGGACACTTCCCACTGCGCAGCCTGGTCGGCTGGCAAGCGAAGCGCTTCTTGCAGACCGTACCTCTTTGTGGCCCCCGTTGTTTTCCAGGCTGGGCATCTCGGAGCCAACGCTGGTGACAAGAGAAAGCTGCCCAGAGGCTTTCACAGCGCTGGCTCGCACGTAGCTCTCCAGGTCGTCCAGGAGGCCCCCCACAAGCGCCGGCACTTCGGACGAGAGCAGGTCGCGGCAAAACCACTCCTGTCCTGTGGGGAGAGATGGCGCGGCCGGCTTGCCCTGCCTTCTCACACAAGCCACCCATGCGGGCGTCTCCCTGCCACAGGCAGGTTTTGCCAGGGCCCACCCCCCCGGGCATGCAGCCTGGCTCCCTGGCCTGCAGGCCGATCGCCAAAGCCCCACCGCTGCTGCAGAGCCAGGAGGGCTCAGGAAACCTTTCTGGGGTCCTGCCTGGCAGGCTAAGTGCTGGCCTGCCAGGTGCTTCTGGAAGCTTCCGGAAAGGAATGGCGGCGAAAAGTCGACGCTCTCCCACCCGCTCTCGAATCAAGCAGTAAGGGCTCCCACGTGCCCCGCTGGGCTTTAGCCTGAGCTTCTAAGGTGCTGTCTAAAGTGCTGGACTATACCAAGCCAAACCCCCATGGGCTCAGCACCATGAGTAGCTCTTTTAATATTCAGACTGAAGCCCAGGGTGGATACACTGCCCAAAAGAGTCACCAGCCACTGGTGGAATCAAGGTAGACTGCACCTGAGCATTGTGGTTCCCTTTGGCCCATCATAGGTGGAACCTCTCCGATGCATCCGGGGTACCAGGCTGTGGGAGCTGCCGCTTTGGCACTTACCCCTCAAACACTTCAGTGACAGCGTCAGATACTCCAGGGACGAGTCGCGGATTTCCCAGCTTGGGCTGCACAGGCGTTTCTGTAACACAGGCAGGAGATCTGCCCGAAAGGGGGAAGGTTCAGAGACAGAATCACCAAATATCCGAACTGGAAGAGTGTGAAGCTTTTCTAGACTGCCCCCACTGTGTAGAGATCTGCTTCTCCTTAGAGACTGGGTTCAGACAACACAAGAACCCACACTCAAGGGCAATGGGACCACTGAACCATGGGTTATCAAGTGGGGAGAAACTTCACAAAAGCTGGGAGACCAGGCAGCTGGGGTCTGGGTGCGAGGGAGGAGACATGGCCCCGGGGGAACTGGGAAGGCTGGCTTGTGCCCCAGGGCCTGTGTTTCTCCATCCCTGCTCTCCTCGGACCTTGAGCTAATTCATGCAGCCCCAGCTGCAGTATTTCTACCTCTGTTAAATTGCTTGTGCCGCTCAAAGTCTTCAGTAGAGCTGGATGGTTCCAGGACGCTCCGAAGCCATTTCAGTGCTGCTTGGAATGCCTTCTTCAGGACCTGCAGGGAATTCAGCAGGGAATGCCAGAAGCCTGAGAAAAGAGACGCCTCCACCCCGGTGAAGAAGAAATCTTTGCCCGCCTCTTCTCCGAGAATCTTGTGCACAGACAAGACTCAGACATTGCAAATGAGCAGAAGTGTGCCAATATGGCACAGTGATTCTACCAGCCCCGCAAAGCTCCCCCAACACACAGCCGTAATTATTGGACCAGGAACACAGAGGTGCTTGTGATAAATTCGCAAGAAACTTCTTCAGATCTGCTATAATCCAAGGGAGAGGAGTCCTTAAGCTCACAATAGTCCTTCGAGTCCGTATCATGCCTGGTAATCAGGGCAAACTGGACAATTCACACGGTTGGCCGAGTGTTAGTAGCAAGAATGGGATTGTGTTATTTAAACAAACCAACCAACCCACATTTTTAGCCTCCACTTTAGCTGAAAATGCTTGCAGGCTGCAGAGAAGCAATAAGATAGACCCTGCACTTATGCTTATAAAAAGACACAGCATGGAAGGAAAAGGGATGCGGAGCAAGGAGGAAAGATGCAGGCCCAGGCATCCATGCGGAAAGTTACAGTCCTTATGAAATTTCGGCTGCAAGCTAGGTGATACCTGAAGGGGCAATGGAACAGCCTCCTTCTCTTCTCCCCTCCTTTTTTGCAAGGTAATGGAATGGCTACCATTAAGGAAACATTCCAGAATGATCTAAAAGGAGCCGGCTGAACGTACGCAGGGGCAGCTGGTGTCCAGCAGCATCCCTGCTGCAGCACCATCTCGGCGGGCTCCGCACGTCATACTTACAGTAGGGCTCGTATCTGGGCTCTTCAAATACACGAGCAGGATGTCAAAGACACGCTCCGTGGCTTCGCCGTGGGTCAGAGCTAAACACACCAAGGAGAACAGTCAGGGCTTGTGAATGGGAACAGACCAGACTCCAGACTTGCAAAGAAATGACAGACACCCACGTCTCATTGAACAGGGAAGACGGTCCAACCAGGTCAGCCAAAGTTCTGCCCTGCCAAGCCAAACACACATTTCGCCGCCAGAGAGCCAGCTGCAGGGGAACGTGAAGAATCTCAAGTCCCTTGTGATGAAAGAGCCCCCTCCTTGTGGCACCACAATGGCAGGCGCCCCCTCCCATGGAGAGGAGGCGAAGCCACCCCAAGGCAGCCTACAACTGGCATTGTTAATTTTTTTTTATTTATTTACATTTCTATGCCGCCCCATTCGCCGAAGCCTCGGGGCAGCTCACAACATAAAATTAAAATATAATACATTCAAAATATACAACAAATTAACAATATAAAATAAGTCGCCCTGGCCAGATAAAATAAGCAAATAATATTAACAATTAAAATGACGTTTAAATAAAAAGGTCTTCGCCTGGCGCTGAAAAACAAATAACGACGGCGCCAGGCGGACCTCTCTGGGGAGCACGTTCCATAGATTGGGCGCCACCGCAGAGAAGGCCCTCCGAGTACCTACCCTCCTAATTTCCTTCACGGAGGGTTCCCTCTCCAGCAGATCTCAAGGGGCGGGCGGGCGGGCGTATACGGACGTAAGCGCTCCTTCAGGTAACCAGGAGGTTAATATTGGGTTGCTTAACCCATAGTTTCTGGGTTCATACGCAAACAGCAAAGCCCAGTGGGACCAGCTGCAGGCTCGGGCTGCTCATCGCTGGGGGAATGTTCCCCACAGCCCTGCAGCAAATCCTGAGGCCGGAGAGCACAAAACTAGGACGGGAAAGAATGCAGGAACTTGCCTGCCCACCGGGAGAGCACCCCGAGGAGACCGAGGGCCGCCCGCTGAACCCGGAAGCAGCCAATCAGGATCTTGCCAACCGACACTCCCAGGGCGGAGACCGGAACAGCGAGGCCGACACAAAACTGCAGGATGGTCACCACCGAGTGCAGCAGAGGCTTATGGGGGAAATCCACAGAGGCGCAAGCCTGCAGGGGGAGAAGACGCATGCATTCCAGACTAACTGACCAGCCATGCATTACATCCAGCGAACACATGGGGCCTGTAGATGCTGGACTACAACTCCCATCAGGCATAGCTGGCGAGGGATGATGGAAGCTGCAGCCTAACATCACCCTGGGTGTACTTGTGGGGACGCTGCCGTCCCATCAGTGCAGGCTTGGGCATCACTGGGACTTCGGCTGCATTTTTAAAGGACCCTCGCGCCTTGGAAAGGGGGCCGAGAGGCCTTCTGAAAAAAATCGGGCATAGCAGCGGCATGAAGCCTGGACTCCAGCGGCCAGGAGGGCTTTCCGTTTGCCTCTCGGCCATCCCCAGATCTGGGCTGGCGGCTCCTCCCATTCTAATCCTAAGCAAGGCCTGGTGGAGTCCTGGCCCTCCGCATCCCCCAGACCCTCTTGTGTTGGCACCCTAAACATGGGGCTGAGAAAGACCCTCCTAGGGTCCTCTGCCTTCGTTCAGCACTGGGCAAAGGCCTCTTGGGTTCTGCAAGCCCCGCTCTTTCTTTTGGTACATCTTCCGTGCCTTTTTAAAGCTTCCCATTTCATGACTGCCTTAGGATTGTGCAGCTCATTTTAACGGGATTTAATCTGGAGGAAGAACTGTTTTCCCTCCCTGTGAACCACCCTGGGAATTTCTACTAAAGGGGTTTGGGCGTTTCTACCATGAATAAAAACATTAGAAAACCGGAGGCCTGTCCAGGGGCAGCACAGCCCCTCCATCCTAGCCTTTCTGGATTAGTCTCTGCCTTCACTTGGGAAGGCCACCGAGCCCCTTGAAAAGGGACAGGGCATATTCCAGTGCCTCCCGGAGCCCTTGCTTCTCGCCGAGAACTAGAAAACCTTATGCAAAATATAATGCAAGGAAAAATGGGTTGATGGAATGGCCCACATCTTATGCAAATAAAGCCTATTTGCACAGGACGTGTCCAGAATGCAGAAGTCAGTCTAAGTTGGCTGAGAATCTCCTCCCGCTCTTTCTGCAAAGCTTAAAGCCTCGACAGTTCTCACCACTGCTAATACAATTGTGTTACTGCCAATTAGCGCCACTGTGACAGGTTCTTTTGCATCGGTTTAAGCTCTAATTGAATTGACACAGAACATACTACTTGTGTTATGCTGACGTTAAACTCCAGCCTTTCCCGTGTTTTCCTGTGCACAGAGCCTCTTTAAGCCTGTGGTCTGAATTCAATTTGGAGACACTCCCAGGGTTCCATTCGAGTGGAGGGAGAAAAGCAAAGGTGAGCAGAGCAGGGCCAAAAGAACAAAAACACCAGCCTATTTCAGCATCAAGGAATTACGGCTTCTAAGCAAACCTAAGCAGAGTTATTTCAGCCTTTGAGGATGGGGAAAAGGTATGGAAAAGCTGGGAAGTCACTGGGAATGAATGCCCTCCAGAAAGTCCTAAACTTTGCTCTTGCTTTCCTTTATGGAAATGATCCATTGCCTAGAAGGTTTTCCTCCTCTTCTTCTGCCTTTCGTTTACCCCTCTGGAAATGTATGCCATCCTCGGAAGTCCCAAATGGCACTGGGAAACCTCCCGCTTGGGCGCCTCCTTTCCCCCACATCACTGACCATCCTGGCCGGTTGGAAATTGCAGTCCAACACAACCAGAGGGCATGAGGCTGAAAAAGGATGCTCTGTGACCTACCAAACACTGGATCTCCTCAAGATAAGCCAAGGATTGGCACAGGAGACTGACGCAGGAAGACCTGGACGAGAGGACGGACTCCACGGGAGCAGCGTTGGAAGGAGGACCTTCCAGCAGACCTGGAGAGACGGGGGCAAGATGACATTTGAACATCGAAACACGCTCTGTTGGGGCAAGCGGCAGTCCCCAAAGGAGGGGGATCAGTCAGACTTGCATCTGATTCCGCCACCTAGAAAAGTGGGGCATTCCTACAAGTATTGTCCTTTTCATCTCAACCCACACAGACACCTATGGGGGTCTATTCACCCTATTTCTGCCCACACCCAGTAGAAGCTGGTGGTTCCCATGGCAGTGTGGAAATGTACCGCTCCAGACCGTAAACAGAACCTTTCAGAAGCTATCCATGGAGCGGAAGTTATTCTGGGGCTAGGAAACAGCATGGCGGATGGCCGCCTTGAAGTTCGGACTAAAGCCTAGCATGACTCCACCACCCCACCAACACTAGGGCTGCCAGCCTTTGCTGGGCCTGTCCCAGTTCTGCTCTGAACTTCGGCTCCATCTCTGCCTTCCTAGCGTCGAGCTCTGGGAGGGGCGTTGCACTTTGAGCTGCAGCAGAGCATCATACCTGGGAAGTCCACAGAGTCAGAAACGCTTCTACAGATGCAGCTCATCGGCAAGACGAGGACAGTCAGACTTTGCGTCTTGATTGCCTGCGGGCTTCAAAGAAAGAGTGCCTGGTTACATCAGAAGTTCTTCATGGTTCAGTGCAGAGGTAAGCAAGCTTTTTCAGCCCAGGAGAAGCTGATGGGGACACTGTCTTACCATGCCTCCAGTTTCAAGAGCCCCAAGGCCAGGGGACCAGCCTGAGCTGGGCTTAAGTTCTTTAGGGCAAGTGCGACCAGCCTCCAGAGGCTGCATTCAGGAGAGCTAAATGCTGGAGATCTACAAGTGAGAGACACTGGTCAGTTGGGTGCAGACAGAAGCGACAGGGGGTGGTGGAGCTTTGGTTCACGAACACAGCGCTTCGTGCCCCCCCTAGACCGCTGCTCATGAAACTGTGTCCGAAGTCTGTCCAGGAACATCTAAATGGGGCGTCCAACAAAAGTTCAGTGATTGGTCCCCAGTTCATTTATAGACAGAATGCAACGCACTCGTTCGAACATTTAATGCCCTAAATGACTTGCATCCAGAGCAGGGAAGGCTGATCTCTGGATGTTTGGGACTTCAGCTCTCAACTTTCCTGACCACTGGCCATTCCTGATACCGATTACCTCCTCCCTCTTCTTCTGCTGAGGACTTACTCCGAACCAAATCTCTCTGTAATGGAGAACAAGATGCCAGGGTCTTTGGAAGTGGAACACGCCTTCCTAATACTGACGTGGGGAACAGCCAGAGCTTTTCCAGAAATGCCCTAGCCTGCTGCCTCTGTAATCTGGCGAAACAAACCATCAACAGCCCGTGATTCTGGAATTGCCCATGACAAATACTCATTGTTTAAACAACCCAGAGTTCCCAACAAACCATGGATTTCCTTTGTGGGTTGTTTGAAGATAGCAGTCCCTATTAACCCCAAGTTTTGAAATCACATGTAATGATAATCCATGATTCAACAACCCATCTTAGGATAAACCAAGGTTAGCATTACATGGTCATCCAGCCTAACTGGTAGTAAAACCATCTACCTCGCCATGTTAAGGAACAGATCCACCAGCGAATGTCCAGCCAGGACTGGTTCCTCTGTCAGAAGGGACCCGACAGTGTCTGCTATCCAAGACCAAAGCACTTCAGTCCATGCATCCTGGCTGTGTTCAAACAATGTCGTTAGCAACTTCAAGGAATGTTGAACGCGAGAGGCGGCACGGGACTGAAGGGACTCCTCGACTCGAGCCATGATCATCCGTGCACAGGCTGGCCAATCACAGTCCTTGGTGCTGAGCAGGCGAGATGGTTCGGACTGCACCGAGAAGATGAGCATGCGGGCAAGAAGCCGATTGGCCCCCGAAGCAACGAACAGGCTGCGGTCTCCTTGAAGGGTGAAAATCACATCCAGGGCTCCTGGTTTGGCAAAAAAAGAAATACACAAGCGTCTTAGTGATCTCGTCATAAGAAATTGTCTGTCTTGGGGATCCTGTTGTGTTTTCAATGAAAACAGTAACTTAAACCCAACGTGCCCAAGCTGAGTTCTCTGGGTGATTTACAAAGATTAACCCCTTAAAATGCAATATAATAATGTAAAATCACAATCGAACAATTTTAGAACAAAAATCAATGGATTTCAAAGGATCTATTGTCATATGCGGTCAAATACCTGGGGGCAGGGGAAGGTCTTAACCTGCTGTTAAAAACGTAACACTACCGGTGCCGGGTGTCCCTCGCTAGAAAAAGCGTTCCATAATTGGCAGGACCACTGCCAAGATCTTCTGCCTCATTCCCATCCTTGGAACCTCCCTCAGAAGTCCTTGGAACTGGGCCTCAGGCAACGCTCATTCTGCCAGGCAGGGCAGTCCCAATTCATTCTACCCCACAGGGTTCAGCTTCGTTACCGGCTATCATGGGAATGAGCTGGTTCTAAGCAGGATCCTTAAGGCAAAACAGCCCAGGTTGTCCAAGACACCTTTCAGTTCTGCAGCCTTAGAAAGGCCCAGCGCTTCTGCAATGCTCTCAGCCACGGACACGGGTCCGAGGCACACATCCGTGCAGGAAGAGCATCCGAGGGAAAACGTACCGGAGTTGCACAGAAACTGGAAGGCACTGTAGTGTTGCAGCATTGTGTAGGCTCCCTGGACCCAGCCGCTCCGGATGGACATGTCTTCCCACAATGCACTGCCAAGGGGGCCCGCTTCGCCAAAGGCACCAAACACCACCTCTCCCTGCTGAGTTAAGAACAGTGGGGGAAGGAGACTGAAAACACACTCCTGCGCAGATCTGGGGAGGAAAAGAAGGCCTACGGCTCCACATGGCTGGCCGGGGGAAACAAGGAGCTGCAGGAGTTTTTTCTATCTAACCGTGCAAAAAACTGCTCCATGATTTACTCTGCTTCAGGCATTTGACAGCATAGCATAAGGTTTTAATGAGTCCTGGGATTTACAGCGGATTGTTTAAATGTCTTACTTTTTGCTCCTTGGTTTCTGTGATGCAATGATATTGTATTACTGGGGCTTTCGTCTTGCTGGACCAACCAGAAGACTTTCACTATTGTGCAGTACAGAAACTTAATACAAGAAAAACGAACTTGAAATGATGAAGAAACGTAAAGAAAATGCCCAAGCAGTTAAGCAGATTCCGCCTACATTACCATCTGTGAAGTATAGAAAGAACGTTAAATGTACAACTCTCTCTCACAACTAGATTTAAATTAGATGCATAATTATTCGTCTGCTTGTCCCTGGATTTTTAAAAAAGTTTTAACATGTAAGCAGCAAGAGTTCCTTCTAGACAGAGGTCTCAGTAAATTCAAGTACGGCTTATCTTCACAAAGGATTCCAGCAGATCCGTCTTCCTCAACGCGGTCATCCTGGAAGCAGGGAAGCACGCGACTCTCCAGGTGTTTTGGACTACAACTCCCTCCACCCCAACACATGGTCATGGATCATGGGAGCTACAGTCCAAGGCTTCTGGCAGGAACCAGCTTCCCGACCTGGTGATGTCGTCAGCTTTACCACCTACGGCAACATGGGGATACAAGCGCTTGTTCCATCGCAAAACTTGACTGACCTGCAGGCGCTGGAAACTGGCTTCAGTCTGGGCGAGTATCCCCGTGAGCCGCAGCACAAAGGAAAGGATGCCAGGGTCCAGCTCCTCTTGTCTGAGCACTGCAAGGATCAGCTCCGTCAAACAGGGATTTTCCTCTAACAGCAGCAGGCTGGGCACTGGAAACGTGCAGGGAAAATGTCGGGGAAAGATCCTGTTAGGTGGTTTAGTTCCAACGCAGCGCTCTCCCAAAAGCGTATGCGTGTCTGTTTAGAAGCGAATCCTACTGAAGACAACACGATTTACTGCTAAGCAGGTGTCTGCAGGATGGCAGCCAGAACCTACTCAGGAATGTGGCATGTCCCGTCTTAATCTGGACATGATACTGTCCTGATTCTAGTTTTCATTTCTGAGGATGTGTGTGATGCCGCCGTGTTCAGATCAATTTGGTGACCCCTGAGGCAGACATTATCTTCATACCAGGAGAGCATAATCTTCTACACACTGGATCTTCCAATTATCTCTGCAGAAAAACCATGTTTAACTAAGCCCTTGGCAGGGGGGAACCCCCCCCCCCCAAAGGTAACACACACTATTTAAACAGAATTTTCAGGGGCATCTGCAGAAATGCCCTCCAGAAATCAATCTAGCCACCTTGTTTAGGTTTATTAAACCAGTAATATCAGATATAAACAACATCATGGTGGGTGTTTGGAATTACAAATGCCGGGTCTCTCATAATGTTGATAGAGTGTATTCAGGTATTCATGCATTGCATAATAACAATGTCTAACGATCATCCTCACAACAGCCTTGTAAAGTAACCCAGTATTATTACCCTCCATCATATGGCCATGTGGGCTGGGAGGGAGCGAACGCTGTAGTCTAACCCATCAGGATGGGACTGGCTGGAGCAAGTCCACCCCACAGATGGAACCCTCACCCAACCTGCACGGAGTCAGCACAGAATCAAAAGTCAACCTACCAGTGTTCGTCAAGGTCTTAAACCAGTCTAGTAACTTTTCTAAACAGGTGTCATCTGAAACTGGAGATCTTGGGTCCGCTAGAACGGTGCAGACGGAAGGAAGGAGTTGGGCACACTTTACATCCATCCTGAGCTTGAGGATCCGTTTCTGTTCCTCCAGAAAGAAATCGGTGCCTTTTTTTTTCCCTTAATGGCTCATATTCTTAAGAGAAACCCAGAGAGGAAAAATACTGTGTAAGGGTTAGCAACTGATCAATGTACAGAGTGTGGGGCTGGGGACCGTGAAGGCGTCAGGAAAAGTGGCCGCGATGGAAATGGGGCTTGCCGATTTCTCTGGTGCGCCTTTACTCCAAGCCCCTTTCTGCAGCGGAGTCCCACGACCGCGAACGACACGGAGCTGACTCCCCAGGCATCGCACACCGCCTGAGCCCTGGAAATGCCAAGTTTGGTCCGCCTACAGAAGCCCGACTGACTTTCCCCGTGTCTACCCCGAAGTCTGCGCTCCGATTTCAGGGGCTCGCTCGCGAGTGAGGGTGCGCGGGAGTCAGCCGCGTGAATCAGAGAGGAGGCTTGCACGCGTGCGAGGCTTGCACGCATGTTTCGTAACGATCATCCGAAAAGGCATGGCGAGGACAGCATCTTGAGCGCTGCCACCCCGGCTGGGCAAAAACGACCCCTCTCGAAGCGAGGGTGCAGCGGCCTTCACCTGGAGGGAGGCGGCACAGGCGCCCTTACCTGCCTGCCCCCTTCTGCCTGAGCCAGCACGACCGAGCAGGATCAGGCCAGCCCCAAGTTTGAGCATGCTCAGTGCGCCCCCGGGACCGAGCATGCTCAGTGCGCGGGATGGAAGCTGCGGGGCTTTTCTTGCCCGTTCCTGGAGCTTTGGAGCAGGAGGCAAAGCAATCTGGATCTCCTGGATTTGGGAGTAGATCGGAGTGCAATGCCACCCACCTTTAGGCAGAAAAATGTCCTACAACTTCTAGCATGCTGAGCATTACGGGAAAATCCCCTCCCGCGCTCCGTGCCGGCTGGGGCACGCGAAGCAATCCGGCTCATGTTGCCGAGCTGCTAGAAAACCACCCCAAACCCGCTGTCCTTATTTAGATAGCTCGGTTTTCATCTTCTCTTGGGGCCAAAAATGCTAACAGAGATGCTTATTACGATTTCTTAAAAAGTCTCTGCCTGCAGGGGTGTTCCCGCAACCAGGGATCATGGGACTTGTAGTGCAACACCTCTGGATGGTGCCAGGTTGGAAAAAGTGGCTGCAAAGCGACCTAGCGGTCTTGCAAGGCAGGCAGCCCCCGAGTCTTCAGCAGGATCGACTCTCAGCGGCGGCGCTCTGCATTCCTGCGCGCGCGCCTACTCGAGAGTAAGCCTCACTGAACACAGCGGGACTTACTTCTGGGTAAACCGGCCTAGGAGGCAGCGAGGCCCTTCTGGGACTGCCGTTAAAGGGTAGTCCGAAGTCGGGAGGGCCTGATTCTGTGCGCGTTTACTCAGGAGTAACTGCCAGGGCGTGCCCTACGGCCAGATACGAGCGAGTTGAGCCGCCTCTTTCCGGGCTCAGTGGGGCTGTTTCTGAGCATGCGCACTTGGCCGGGCCGAGCTTTTCCGAAGGAGGAGTCGGGCAACTCCGGGTAACTTCTCGTTCGTCCCGAAGCTCTGCGAGAACTCCGGGCGCCGCCCTGCCCCGCCCCGCCCCTCCCTGAGTGCATCCGGGTCTCTCGGCCCTGGTTGCCGTGGCCGGTTGCCATGGACTCCCAAACCCGGAAGCTCGGAGGCTCGCGGACGGAGCCGCCGCCGCCGCCGCCGCCGTGCTTGTGCCGGAGCTCGCTCGGGGGACCGCTGGGTGGCGTGGCCGGGCCGGGCCTGCGGCGTGCAGCGTGTGGCCTTCGGGCGCCTTCCCGTTATGTCTGAGGGCCCCAGCGAGACCGCCACAGAGCGGGAGCTGGCGCTGGTGAGGGGCGGCCGGGGAGCGCGGGGCTCGGTCGGCGGGAGAGGCGGGGGGGCGCCCCCTGCCCAGGCGGAGAGGCTGCGCTGGGTGCCCCCTGCCCGGGCCGCCCTCAGGCAGATGGGGCGCCCCCTGCCCGGGCGGAGAGGCTGCGCTGGGTGCCCCCTGCCCGGGCCGCCCTCAGGCAGATGGGGCGCCCCCTGCCCGGGCGGAGAGGCTGCGCTGGGTGCCCCCTGCCCAGGCCTCCCTCAGGCAGATGGGGCGTCCCCTGCGCGCGCCTTTGGGGAGGAGCGTGGGCGCCCCCTAGTCATCCCTCCCCCGGGCTCATGGGCCGGATTTCCTCTCCTCTCCCCCACCTGGGCAGGTATGTGGTGCCCACACTGACCCTCTGCTAGGATGGAGTGTGGGTGGTCCCTCCTCGTGCCCGCCTCCGCCAGGGCATTGTTTGGGTGCCCCTCTGCTCCCCATCCTCCCTCTGTTTCAAAATGGACTTTTAAAAGGGACACACAATCCGCTAGAACCCTGAAAGCTAAGAAAGATGATGTCTCCCTTTGTTCAGTACATGAGAAAGGCAGAGATTGTCACGTGTGTAGCAGCGGTGGTGGCAAAGGGAGCTGGACCAAGGAAGACTGATTGAAATGTCCATTGGAGTAGAGCACATAAAAGCATAAGGAAACCCATGTAGGACTGGACCAGACCAGCTGCCCACAGGAGCCCTTAAGTCCGCCAGCCATGAAATGCTGGAAGCCGCCCCTGTGCATACATTCTGGAGAGTAGGCTGCATCGGATCCAGTTGGATTTGCATAAGCTGACATGTTGGATTAGATTGCATGAAATCAGTAAGAAAACAAGATGTGCTGGCAGGGAGGGCCATTAGACGTTTTGTGATACCATGCAGAGAGTGACCAAAGAGAACTCTCTTTTCTATTAATGTAGGATTAGTTGGGTCACCCAACGGGATTGATGAGCAGTAGGTTCAGGACAGATCAAAGGAAGTCCCACTTTCTTCTGGGGTTTAAGCGACTGGTTTCCACGGGCAACTGGCTGCAAGTGGGACGAGAGGAATGGTCTTGCCCTGTGCTTTGTCCCTGGCATCTCATACTCGGCGTTTTCTCAACTATCATGGTGTATGTCAGTTTTTCCTAGCCTTGCAGATGTGTTGTACTGCAGCTCCCAGCATCCTCCAGCCAGCATGAGAGTTATATCTTGAAGGCACCACTCCCATGCTTGGCTGGGGGATGCTGGGAGTTGTAGTGCAACACATCTGCACAGCCCTTGGAAATGGGGCAAGCTGCCCTGTGGCTAGGGACACGCTGACCTCTGTGGTAGTATTTCCTCGTGTGCCAGTGTTCACACCAAACACTACTCTTCCCATCTCCTACAGGATGTGGCCCTCTAGTTCTTCTGGGCTACAGCTCTCTTCAGTCTCAGCTGGCAAAGCTGGTAAGGGATAATGAGAGTTGCTCAAACTTCTGGAGAGACACAAGTGGCCTTTTCCCTGTTTCATTCATCCAGTGAGTCACATCTCAGATCTTCCACTGTGCTCCTTTTGCCCAAGCAAACTTCTTCCATGAATAGAATGTGACTCTGTGCTCATATCCTGTGGTGAAGGAAGTGGCTTTGAATTAAAATAGAATTTAGGGTGTAAGGATCAAGATGGGCTCACTCTAGGAGGGGCCACAGCTCAGTGGGTGAGCCCATGTTTTGCATTCCCAGTTCTGTCCCCAGCACCTCCAGATGAAGGACTAGGAGGCAGCCCTTCCTGAAGCTCCAGAGCATGCCTGTTAGGGGCAACCACACTGGGTTAGATGGGCCCCTGTTCTGAATCAGGTTAAGGCCACTTTCTGTGTTCCTATTTCGAGGATGCATCTTCATATTCTCTCTCCATAAATTTTCTGTGAGACTAAATGTCAAAAGGTGCTATAAACCATTTATTAGAGGAGCAGGAGAGATGTGCCATTCATTCCTACATAGGTTTACTCAGTCCTGTGAATTCAGTGGGGATTACTTCCAGTAAGTGCATCGAATCATGGCCTTAGAAAGTTGTTTCTTTCCCATGCCTCAGAATCTTCAAAGGAAAGAGAGAGAGAGATCAAGTGTCCACTGAGCTTATAGCTTGAAGGCTTAAAATCTTTCCCAAAAGCTGACACATGCCAATTAATCAGCAAAAGCTTTAGTTGATTAATTTACAGCTTTAACCAGACAGCTTGCAAGCAGACATAGTTCTAATCTGAGATACCTGCAGCATGCAGATAGCAGTGTTCACAGCATCTGCATGTTTGGAGATTTTCTGCTGAAAGCTGTTCTCTCCCTGCTTGTTGAGATGTTTGTCTCTTGCAGTGAACTGTTCCCCAGTCATGGAAGGCAGAATATCTGGAATTTGCTGTATGCTAGAGTGTCCTAAGTGCATTCCACTCTCCTTTCACTGCCCATTCACTTGCCTTCAAACGATGCATTTGTGTTTGTCTCACAGTCTGATCACTAACATAGCAGGGCGAATTGGGTAGGGAGATGTAGACTGAGATCAGATGCCTGAAGGGGGGGGGGGGGGGAATCTGCCAATACGTTCTGAAAAGTGTGACTTCAGGAAATTAAAAGCTGTGACATGGCATCAGTGCCACATACCGCCCTGGAGCGAGCCATTGGAAAACTGGTTTATCTCTTCATGGTGCCTCCTTTCCTGCCACCCAGGTTTCAGAAGCCTGCCTCTTCCCCTTTCTGTCTTTTTAAGCACTGTGAGTTTGAAATCTTATCTAGGGACAGGGCTGGGGCATATAAGGGATGGTGAAGGCAGCTGCGGAAATGAACTGTAGGGCCCTTCTTCTAAAGATGACACATTTGCAAGGAATAGATCCATGCACCACTGTTTTTAAAGGAAATTAAAATCTTAATGTTGTTCTTTGTTGCCAGTATCAGGAAAGGATGGTAAAGCTTGCCATACAGAGGAATAAATGTACTCACACCCAAAGCTCGTTGTTCAGCTAACCGTTGAGGGAGTCTTTGTCCTGCATTACCGATCATCTTGTGGTGAACCTCCTGATAAACTGCACTCACAGAATCATGGATCTGAAAGAGGCCACTGGCCATCAGGTCCAGCCCCCTTGCTCAGTGCAGGAATCGAGCTATAAGGCACTGAGGTGTAGTTGCTCCCCAGGTCCCATACTGGAGAGTTATATTTTACCTAGCTGAGATGCCCTTTGATTGTGGCCCCTTCTCGCCATCTCAGATGGGCTGTGAGGCCAGGTTCTTTTGGGTTTCCTGAGTAAATTAGCTTGTGTGCTGACTAACTTGCACGTGGCACAATTCACACTCAGCCATCCCCAGCTCAGCCAAGGCACAGGCATGCCCCCTCCTCCTCTTTGCACCCCCTTTCTCCCACTGGGAGGTTTCTCTACTTCTGTGTAGTCCCCCCCCCCCCGCACCACTTTACAAGTTTTAGATGCCTCTTCTAAGGCTTCGTTCCCTGCAGTGAGAGCTTTGAGCTAAAACATGTTGATAATTTTGGCATTCTCGCCCTGTTCCCTTTGTCTTTGACCTCACTCCCCTTGGCATGTGACCCCCAAGAGTTCCTCTGAAAAGGAGTGTGGAACTTGGGCAGCACAAGAGTCAGTCACTGGGTCAAAGGTTCTTGAGTGGCAGAGCTCGGAAAGTCCTTGGAGAGCAGCTGCCAGTCAGAGATCGGCCTTCCCCAGTTCTCCAGATGCGTTGGGCTACAACTGTTGAGCTCAGTACACGGGGGTGTGCATGCAAATATTGCGCATAGCATTCTGTCACAGTTCTGCATGCGTATTTCTTTCACAGGGGGAAGACAGTCATTCCACAGTAACCTCCGCATCCGCATCCGACGCAGAAGCAGTGAGTTGACCCCTCCATGCTTCTTTTAAGATCTCTACCATTTACCAGCAAATTTCAATATGAAATAATTTTCTCTTTCAGAAACCGAGGAAGAAAACATCTTGCAAGCTTCCAAAATCACCGAGTAAGTGTGATTAAACCTTTCAACGGAACAGCCTTGTGGTGAAACGTGCTTCCCTGAAGCATTCCTGGATATGAAATAAGCATCTGTGCAAGGGGTGGGAGAGTCTGAGTATGCTGGGATGTGGCGCTCTCTCCAGAGCCCTTTGGGACGGCATCTCCTGGAAAATTAGGAGCATTCCCATGCCACTGATTTTTGGTACTTGCTGAAGCAGTTCAGCCTCTGTTATGTCAGGCGGTAGTCAGAAACTGTGTATCGGTTCCCCTGTGTCTCCAGGACTCTGATGAATTTGCTCCTTTCTCCAAGCTCAGGAGTGGCTCCGAGGTGAAGTCATCTCCCATGTCTGTGCCCAAAGGAAGTGCTAGCGGCCTTCTTGATTCCTTTTCAAACCTGTAGTGCTGACTTTTCCCCTGTATTTTGGTCTTAGAATCTCCATATATCTCTAGCACGTACCTCCGTTCTACAAGGGTTGGATTTCCAAGATCCTTTAAGGGCACAGAGAACAAACACTTTGAAATTTCCTTGGTCAAAGCATCGAGGCAGCTGTGGCGTGGATCTCTCAGACAAGGTACCAGTATGGGAAACCATCTGTCTTTCACCAATTGCATCACCATAGATAAAGAATCTGGGGTCTTGTACCTTCACTCCTCCTGATCTGTTCTTGTGGTATGCGAAATGCACCATCCCATTGTCTGCTCATGCTTGCATATGCATAAACATGATTGCACTGGAAGAACTAGTAGGCTATAACATCCTGATGGAATGCCGGAGGGGGGTTATTCTTACTTGGGGATCCTCAGTGGACAGTGCATGGCTTACCTTGCCTTATTGCTCTGATTTAGCAGGCTGCCTTAACAGCTCAGGGCTGAACACTCTGCCCACTGGGCTGGACTGCTGTTCTTCGGCTCTACAGTTTAATGCAAACTGAGATATAGTCATCTCTTGGTTCCCCACTTCTCTCCCTAGATACCTGGTTGGGTCAGACAAAGTCAGGTCTTGACCTAAGTCCTGGGTTGTCCTCTGTCCCTGACGGCACACCGGAATATTTGAAGGAAGCTTTGGGTATGAAGAAACCAAAACATGCTCGTTCCGCCAGCAGTGGTGAGTTGAGTACCAAGAAATCACAGCTGCACTAATTTTATGACTAACTTGAAGCATTTTTATGCAGCTGCTCATTCAAAAGTGCTCCCAGAGTTACTTATATGTACTGAAGTAAGCACAGCACTGCGTATCTGCAGGTTTAATCTGAAAAGGCACAACACACAAGGAAGAACATGTGGGGAGGGAAGAGGAGAAAAAGAGTTGTTTTAGCAAGGCGCTCGCTCTCTCTCTCTCTCTCCATACGGCTTGCTGGAATGGATGTTAGGTAAGGAATGGAAGAATGAATGGTGTACGCGCTGTTAAAACTCAGTAAATGAAACGCGTTACAATAGACATGGAGGAACCCTTTGCCACACCTGTGCAGTAGTGAAACGGGAAGCCTGTTTCCACGGCACATGTCCCAGTGAAGTCGCAACATCTGCAGAAACATCAGGCGAAACTGTGTTGTTTTCCCTAACCTGGAACCTCCCATCTTGGGCTCCATCATCTCCAGTCATCTGCAACCAGCATGGCAATTGGCCTTTTTAAACCTGTCAAGAAACGTAGAATTGAATCTGTAAATCACTGTCCATTTTGGTAATAGAAAAGAGTATCGGAATGTAGTCTTGTTTGCTAGAGCTGCCATTTACTCTTCTGATGTGTGTTGGCGGGGGGCACGGTTTTTTCTAGGCTACATCCCTGGAACTCCAGACTACAAAGAAAAGGAAGAGATGTATGATGAGATCATTGAACTAAAGAAGGTACGGCTAGACCTTCGCATGATCTGTATATTTATGCTGCATGCAGAAGGCACTTACTGGAGAATCTTATTTGTCTTTTTTGAGAAATAAAAGTTTGGTTTCCACAGTTGCAGAGGATAGTTTGAAAATACATGGGGAGCATCTATCCAGGAGCCCAGAATGCTAAGGAGAGCTTTTAAAGGAGAGAAGAATTTGGTGCCTGTAATCAGGGTGGCTGCCTTCCATCCCCATGGCATGTTTTCCCTGTTTGGCCTGCCCCAGTCCTCCCTTTTCTTCCTGTTTGCTTCCTACCACCATACTTCTTACCATTCCTGCTTTGTATCATTTAGTGAAGCTTGTCCAATTTTCCTGTGCAGGTTGCATTGGAGACTTCCCAGGACAGGGCCTAGGGAACTGGAGAGACATGGTGGATGGGAAGCACAGGGGCGGAGGAGAAGCAAATCCAGAGCTGTGTTTCCTTACCACTTCATTCTTTCTCTTCATTAGTTTGCTCACCTCTAAAGGAGATGCCTGAGGCCTGGTGGTTTTGCTTGGATTTCTTTAAAAAAACCCAACACATGCAAAAGAGATTCTTACAGAGCTTTATTTACCAGGGAGCTGCAAGCGGAACTAAGTAAAGGACCCAAGATATTCCCCCCTCCCTCCTGTTTAGACAGTCCAAGCCCAGAAATGTGAAGCAGATCGGATGAAAACGAAGCTTCGGCGACTGGAGGAGGAGAATAATCGGAAGGACAAACAGATTGAACAACTGCTGGATCCCTCCAGGGTAAGCTGCACAGCCCCCGGGTTAGTAGCACAGTGAAGGCCCGATCCTGTGCAAGGTGAGGCAGGAAAAAAGGTATACGATGCCCAGGGTGCCACAGCCATGCCTGCCTCTGCACAGCGGCAGCATTCAGGTCTGCTCGGCCAGCAGTTTGGTTTTCCTTTTCAGTAGATGGAAGTCAGTTGTGCTTTGTCTTCTAAATATTCATGTTTGACTAGAAGTAACAGACGTGCTGTGCTCCTTGTTGTGTAAGAATGTTACAGTGAGAAGAAACATTCAGTCATGTGAAGCTGCTGGATTTAATGGGTTCTCAAGTCATTCTTTCTGTATCTTGTACAGTCTGTCTGCTGTCTATTGAAGTCTGGTTTGATCATTCGAGCTATATCTCTGGGAATCGGCCTCGGAGTTCCAAGGTCAGGGCGACTTGGAAAATGCCGGCTTGCCCACACAGTGTGGGGGATTGTGTCTCTGACAGCACTCAGACCTCCAGGCTGTGAACTGGAGCGCTGTCCCCGCCCCCAGCCCCCGCCCCAACTGGCATGGAAGGAGCCACACTGGCTGTTCTCCAAGATTGGGAAAGGGACCCAGGAGAGAGAAGGAAGGAGCCATTCTGCTGAATGGGGAAGGGAGGGGCCTCTGCAGCCCCTCCCCTTCCCCTCTAAAATGCTAATGCTAGATAGTCAAAAAAGCACATTGAATTAAAAAAAAAAATAGAGGGCAGGGGGATAAAGCGTGCCTTTGCAATCTCTTTAGCCTTGCATAGGATTCGTGTAAGCCTTTGGGTTCGGGGCTCGTGATCCTTGCAATAGGATTTCCTCCCAAGTGGGCTGAGCATTTTCCCATGTTCCCACAAAGCAGCCTCAGGCAAACTGCTCTCTCTTTCTCTGTCCTCATCTGGGCCTGGAGATAAAACCCCTGAGCCATCCTGCACATGGTGGGCGTGTCGTGAGCGGAGCTGGCTGGAGCCTGGGGTCAGACTAGATGGCCCGGGAGACCCCTTCTGCCTCGCTCTGTTCCTATGTTTCTATGGCAGGGTATACTTATGGGGAAATAAAAACCCATGCTTTGAACAGCATCTTCTTGAATATGCCGGGGGTCAGACTAGATGGCCCGGGAGGCCGCTTCTGACTCGCTCCGTTCCTATGTTTCTATCTTACTGGGCTTTTGTGAAGATTGCGGCAACATCCTCGCCTGGAAGTGTTGTGAAAAAAGTGTCACAAGGAGGCCTGCTGACCAGGCCCGTCTTGTGCAAAGAGCTTGGTTGCCTGATGCGTTGGGTGACTAAATGGGGCTTCATTCCTTGTTCTTGCAGGGCTCTGAGTTTGGCTGGGTACGGACAGAGCAGAAAAACGATAATAGCATGGTAATGGCAGCTTTCCTTCCCCACCTTCCTAGCTTCATGTTTGTTGATGGGCCAGCACATGCTGGATATGTGCACAGAAGTTGCCTATCACAGCACACAACCCGGAAGTGTGAATAAAATGTCAAATTCCTTCACTTTGCTACCATCTGAATTCTCCTGATATTCAGAACCCAGGTACTTATTTATGGTAGTGTCTTGAATTTCTAAGAACTGTTAAAACAGTGATAACCATCCTGTGAGAGAAAATGGACAAAGTAGCAGAAGTGGGGCAAGAAAGAATAAAGTTCTTTCTTGATGACGGACAGTAGAGTGATTTACTTATTTATTTAGAGTATTTGTATGCCGTCCCATTGCATAGCCTCAGGACAGCTTGCACAAATGCTTAGTTCCTTGGCATAACAGTGTATTGAAGATCGAATAAACAGAATGGGGCCAAAAATGTAAAGAAGTGGACTTCGTACATATTCCTGAGGAACGTCTGCAGGAACTGGGGGGAAATGGTGTATTAATTATATTTTAAAAGTTTTCTGGGAGGTAGCTGTACTCAGTAAAACAGTGCCAGATAACCTCAGTGCCTCAGAAGGTACGTAGTTATCTGTCTCCTACTAATATTTATGCTGCCTTGTGTGAGTTTGTAGATTACACAGTTGAGGGTGGATGGGATTTCTGATTTATAATGGTGCATCTGTAATAGTCTAGACAAGCTTGTGTTTCAGGAGAGGCCCTGTGGTTTTTTTCCCTTCTTGATAGTTGATCAGTGGATTGAAGCAGAAGATCCTCAGACTGGAGCAGCAGTGCAAGGAGAAAGACAATACTATTAAGTATGCTGGACTGTGTAATGCAATATTTTACCTTGCTTTTCCATTCTCGCAGAAACTCAAGGTGGCTAACAATAAATCAGTCCTAAAGTAGCATAATATGTACAGCTAACCGGTTAACAGACACAAAAATTAGCCTCAGAAAACCAGGAACGAATCCCCACAGAAGGTCCAACTGGGCCATCGTACTTCTTAGCACAGACAAAAAGCATATTGAAATAGCAGCATCTTGGCTTGTGGCATCAAAAGGCAGAGGGGGCTGGCAGATAGTCTAGGGGAAAGAATTTTACACTGGGAAGCCCCTGCCTAAGCATGTATCTCGGCCATAAACATGGAGCTCAGCCCCTCTGATGCAGGACGCACAACCTGTTCTCCCAGGAGCTGCACTCCCAGGAGCTTGGGCCATCTTCATCACCTGAGGCTCAGGTAGCCTCAGGGGCACAGAGTGGCTTCTACCAGGTGTAACCCAGCTATGTCCCTGCCTGGACAGGGATAGCCTAGCTTCAGTAGTCTAAGCTCAGCTACTCCCATGCTAGATGAGCTCAGTTGAATCTAAGCAGGGCTGCCTCTGAAGGCAGCTCAGAAGCTGCAGCTTGTGCAAAACGTGGTGGCCGCACTGGTAGCAGGGGTCCAAGGAGCTAACATGCAGCCCCAGGCCTGACTCGCTTGCGCTGGCTCTGTGCATTTGCCATCCCGTTTCTGTGGTTCTTCTTTCAGTGCCAGGTTCAGTTCTTCCTCTACTCCCAGGCATTTAACATCATGCCATAAAATTTTGTATGAGCCCTGGGATATGTTGCTGTTGCTGCTAAAATCGTTTATGCGTTTTTGCATATTTCATGTAAATAATTTTATATTATGTTACAGTCCTGTATCTTTAAGGGGTTTGATCTTTGTAAACTAGCCAAAGAGCTTGGGCTTTAGGCGATATAGAAATGTAACCCCTGAAATGAAAAGAAATGACAGTGAGTTCATGCGGGGGGGGGGGGGGAGGGGGGGGCAGTCCTTAGAAGATCCAGGTCCCAAACTTTGCATGGCACTTGCATTCCGGATTGTCTTGTGCTGGGCAGATAAATAGAGGGAGAGAAAATTGTGAAGTATTCTGCACTGGAGCTGATGGTCAAAGCAGTCCAGTTCAGGGGCATGGTGGCTTTTCTCTCATCCCACCCAACCCTGGATCTTCCAGTTCCTGATCGTCCTTTTCTGGCAGCACGCAGAGGATAAGGAAGCCCACTGTGACCGAGTGTGGCTCCTCGGGACATGGGAAGCCAGTGTGGCTGGCCCAGCACTCCCATTTCGCAGGAGAATGGAAGGCACATAGGGAAAATAAAATGGAGAGGACAGTCCAACAGGCAGGGTCGTCCGTCTCAGGATAGATTTTAGCTCTGAACGTTGCTGGAATAGAATTTCCACTGTAAGCTGCTCAGAGAGCTTCAGCCATTGGGTGGTACAGAAATATAACTAATAGCAGTGTCAGTGATGTTGGTACTGCTGGTAATTATTGTGTGTATTATACAGGAAAGGGGTATAAATTGGCCTTGCTGCTAGCAAACATTTATGGGGAGTTTTTGCCTCTTTGGTTCTACCAATCTTACAACTTCTTGTGTGTGCTTGTATTATTAAAAAGCAAACTGCAGACAGATGTGAAGAGTACTAATGTGGAAGAAATGAGGATTTCCCTGCATACCTGTTATGAGGAGGTATGTCTATATTAAGCTCCCTATATTAAGCTCCCGCTTGTTGAGAATGGGAGAACACGCAACATTTTTAGATGAAAACCTGGCGCAACCTTCAGTTTTGTTTCTTGGAGAACAGGCCGCTGTATTGGAATATTTATGCTAGCTGGACCCGAGGTCTCTCACAGAGGATTGTGAGTAAATATAGCTATATTTACAAGATATATCAGTCTTGTACACCTCATGTAAAATATCACCATTAAAAACCTCCTTGTTCTGAGTGCTTTGTTGTAGGAGTTTCTCAGGACTGTAGTAACTGGGGAGCCGGTAAAGCAGTGCATGATCTTAGAAGTGCGTGTTCAGATACTGTGATGCAAGCTTTAATCATAACACTGTTTTTCGGGAACCCTCTGCAGAGCTGCGAGGAATCCTCATGCCTCTTGGCATCACACTCTTGCCCTGGGGCATCAAAATGTTGCCGTCTTGTTCTCCCCTCCAAAGCAGCTGCGCATCTTTCCTCCACAGCCTGTTCTTTGCCCTATGATCTTTATGTCTTGTCTTTCTATTACAGATTCAGCGACTCCAAACACTGCTGGCAAAATCAAAAACTGTGCATCGAAAGTATGTTTATTTCCTCGGGGCTGTGTGCATGTGTCTAAGTTTTTGTCTAATTTCTATACTTCATTAATTGTGGTGGAGTAACCGAATGTGAAAAGCTTTTAAAAAAATTCTCATCGCATGGATGTTGTTTTGGGTTTCTTTCCCCACACTTGCTTAACTGTATAACATTCTGTGTCCTATATCATATCCAAAGGGCACTTCCCTTTCGGTTAGAGGTATTTACCACTAAGATATCTCATCAACTGTGGTTTTAGATTCCTGTGCACACATGCTAAAAGCTGTGCAAGGCAGTGGCTTCTTAAAGACTCTAGTGCCCAACTTAAAACACCGTTAAGAAGCAGTTATTGAATTTAAGTTGATTAAGGCTACAGTCTTAACAGCACTTACATAGAAACAGGTGCACCAAAATCAATAGGATTTACTTTAAATTTGAGCTGTAAGTTGCACTGAAGAGAGCATCCTTCCCAATCCTTTAAGTCCTATTGATTTTATTGCACCTTACTTCCAAAGACATGAAAGGCTCAAGTGAAACTACTCCAGCTCTGGCTAAGCCATCTAGATGCAACTACATCTCCATTGGATTGTTATCAAGGGGCACATTCCTGTAAAACAGCAGCATAACTTTATACCAATTTGAAAGCTGATGATCGAAAACAGTGGAACAAGATTCTAACACGTGTCTTTAAAAAGATACTCCCTAGTCTTGCCTTCCCAAAGGGTTGACTGGAGAGTGATGGTATTCCGTGTAGTTGTCTAGCCACTTAGGGCTCTTGGGCAAATGCTTCAGAGAAATAGTAGACCTTCCTGTAAAAGAAAGCAAAACAAAAGAAAATTCTTTCTGTATGTTTTCTGCATGCTTAACTTAAGGAAATAGATTTGGAAATGAGAATCTAATTTTTTATTGTTTAAGAAAAAGCACTCAACCCTAGTCTTCATGATTACAAAAGGAGAAAGGCCTTTAAATTTGCAGAAATACTGATCTACCCAAAGTTCAGTAAGATGCGAAGCCACTATGCAGAATTTCCAAGGTGGGGGTGGGGCCTTTTAGGTCCCACACAACTGTTCTCTGTCTACCACTAGGCTGGTCAAATAGTGATAAACGGGACGGACACATTTATTTATTTAAAATATTTATATGCCGTCCTAATCACAAAAAAAGCCTCAGGACAGCTTACAATATAATAGCATTAAAAATTTTCACTCTTGCAAAGAAAGCTCATAAAGATCCAAGTTGCCCCTTTCGTCTGTGCTAATAAATATGAAAACAACTTGGGGTGAACACTTCCAGCATTATACAGCAGAAAGAGCATTATGGTATCTTGTCTTTTCAGTAGTTAATTCCACTGATTTGGTGATCAGAAGGGGAAGATTAAGGTTGCCAAATCCGTGCCATTTGATGTTTCAACACAATGCCTAAAGCAGCTGTCATATTGTGTTATAAACTGCCCAGAGAGCTTCAGCTATGGATGGTGTAGAAATAAAATAAAAATATTTCTGGCCCACCTTTGATGCATTTAGTGGGTTGCACTTGGCCCCAGCTAAATTTGCTTACTAGTTTCAGGTAAACCGTGGCTCAGTTTCTCTCTGTCTCAACCTGGGCACTGACTTTTGTTTTATCTCCAGGCAGCCCCCTGTAGCATGCATGGCTAGAGGACAAAATGAATACACCGGTTAACTTGGTTATACACATTATAAATTCGTCCGGATTGAAATCATCTAGTTTGGAGACTACACTGTGCATATGTTAAAAATGCTGTTTGGATGTAGCAAAAAAACTGAGATAGCTTGGAGACTGGAATATGCTCTTTTTCTGTTCCTTTCTTAGAACAAAGTCAGCCCTTTGTTCATAGGGTTATTTCATTAATAGGAGCATTTGGGGAGTCCAAAATGGAATTTCAGTGGGGCTTCCTATTCCTAGAAAACGATTTTTAACTCTTAAAAGCTGACCAGATACTGTAGACCATCAGGTGAGAGAGACAGAGGAGGAAGAAAAGGATGGCAGCTCGGAAGGAAGAAGAGAGAGGGAGGTCTGTGCAGTCAGAGGACGGATTTCCATCAATTGTGGACGGATTGTGGAACTCAAGGTAGCTTTGGAGAATGGTAGATTGAGAGGGACGCCATTTTGTCCCCTGAGCGCCACTAACGCAAGCAGAAGCTGGGCAGGGTGGGAACGCAAACCTGGGGACCTGAAGGGGGAGGCTTTGGTACACAGAACATGATCGGGCATGCCCTGATGCATGACTCAGATGTGCACACACGCAACATCCGAGAGGGCGCATACACCTGGATTCTACATTTCTGGTGTAAACAGCACACTTCTCACCTGGCGTGAAGCCTTCCCTTGCTTGCCTGTGCTCCAGCGCTTTGTTGGAGCACGTGGATTAAAAAAGAAGAGTCCATTAATATGGCGTCTGCTGTGAGTATTACTGCATGATGCTGGCAGCACCTGCGGTCTAGGACCATCAATGTGCATAGTGTTTTCCACCACTCAAGAGGACAGGGGCCTGCTCCGCAGAACAGGAGGCGAATGGCAGCAGAGGAGACAGGAAGAACACAAGGTTATTGCAGCGACACCCCCCGAGGCCTCACATTTCACAGGATGCTTCCAGCTTCATCTGCCTTAATAATTTCCCCGTTTCCACCTACAGATCTCCTCCAGAGAGCAGAGAGCAGAAGGCTCTCAGTGGTGCTGTCCTGCAGTTGTCCAGAAATATGAGAGAACTGCAAGAGGAGAACTGGGCACTGAAAGTAGATTTAGACCGAGCGCTGAGCCGTTCCCGTACCTCCAGTAAAGGAGCAAGTAAGTTCTGTGTGAGTTTCGACCTTGCTGTATGGAAGAAGGGGAGGGGTTGCAGAGCTCTCTGCTTCCGAGCAGCGGCTTGGGCGAACAACCTCCCCCATCTTCTGGTGGAACTTGGCATGAACCACCAGGGCTGCGGCCAGCACCTTCCATGATCGGTGTCCTCAGGCTCTCGGCTGGCCCATTCACCGTCACTGGCCCCTGGGGTCTCCTGGACAGGAAGGACTATTGAAGGCTTCCTGTTCTGAGCCGGGGCTTTCCCAGAGCAGCTGTGATCCTCTTGGCCGACGTGTTCTGGTTTGGCTTTGTCTCTCGGCCCTGTTCCTCACCACTGGCTCCTGGCTCCACTTTGACAGCTGCCTTGAGCCCTTGGGAAACGGGCTCCTCAGGGCTGGGCTGATGCAAGGTAGATGAGAGGACAGGATCAGAGGGAAGCAGAAACCTTTGTGGGGGCTACAGAAGAGGCAGACATGATGGGATCGCCAAGGGGCAGTATAAGGCAGTTTTCTGGGCTGTCGCTGGCCATGCCTAGAATTAACCAAAGAAAGCGAACAAGAGAGGTACACAGGTGGGCCCCCTAAGCCTCCGGCCAAGCCGGCACTTTGCTTCTCAGCAGCTCCCCCCAGAACCGCTCGCCTCTGCTGAAGAAGGAAGTGCTACACGAGAGCACTTCTAGCTGTCAAAATGCTGCCATCGCTGCCTGTTGATAAGACCAGGGCATGCCCCTCGGTTACCCCACCTTATAGGTGGCAGCTTGATGGAATGTCAAAATGTCTCAAGATAACCTATCCTTCCAACTTCTATAAATAGTCTCTCTCCGATTCCTGTGGCTTGGACCGTTCCTTCTAGGGATTTGCGTTTCTCACAGCCTGAATTCCAGTTTGAAACTTTTGCTGACTTTCCCCAGATTCTGCTGGATGGAGCAGACAGAGGCTGGTTCGGCGGATCTCAGCTGTGGAGAAAGTGAGTGATGGGAACCCGAGAGCCATTTTAGAGCTGGTAGGACAGAAACCATTTCAGCAGCTGAGTCTATTAGTCCACCTCCGAGAGACAAACCAAGAACTTGCTTATTTTTATACAATACTATGTGCTAATTGGGAGTGGCTTTTACTTTACCAGGCAGGACTTTCCTCCAGAATCTCTATTGATGAGCTGGACTGGGTTTTGCATTTGAATGAAAAGTTTTTGATAGACTTGCAAACTGCTTCTACTGTCAATTAGTTCATAACCGCAGAAATGACTCAGAGAGCCAAAATGTTGGCCTGTGGCTTACACTTACCTGTAGTCACCTGTGGCTAAACCTTCTGTGATCCATGCAGGCAGGCGTTTTCATGCCCAAACAGGAGTTCTTGTGCCCCTAGACCAGCGGAAGTAGATTGAATAGGACAGCATGCAAGAAAGGACGGTCCAGTGTCCAGCATTCATTTTCCCTTTACATTTTCAGAAAATGGACGAGAGGCAGAACAGCAGGCTGCAGCTTTCCCAGACCAGCACGTCGCCCTTGCTCACTCTCCCCACACCAGTTGCTAAGGAATCTGATCCCCCAAAAGACTTTGAACATCTCCAAAGCCTAGTGAAGAAGCTGAAAAGCCAAGGGGTTCTCCTTCAGAATCAGCTGGCTGTTAAAGAGTTAAGTGTCTAGGTGTCAACTGACACACTCCAGCTCTCATTTGGTGCAGACCTTGGAGGATAACACGGAAGAAATGGTCTGGAAAACTTGTACTCTCTGCAAACCTTGCATCCTCCCCCTTCCCCTGGTCTATTTCTACTGGCTGAAGTCTAAAAATGAAAAGGATTAAAAAAGAAATCCAAGGAAGGCTGTTTTCCATATAGCAAATAAGTGCAGAAGCCAAGTTTTGCTGCCCAATATCTAAGCCCATGCAGGGTGGTTCTCATGCCCTCTTCACAACCGCACCAAGTTCGTGGTGCCTGTAGGGAAGTTATTCTAGGAGAGATGCAAGTTCTTCAAGCACAGAAGCAAAGCCTGAGGCTTCTCAAGCACAGATAGCAAAGCAATCAGCTCTGCGTTGGAAAGGGATTTTATATAAAGGCGGCATCACTGCTTTCTGCCAGTTTTCAAGCACTTTGTTTATTATAGTGAAATCTGCCACCCACTGTTTGTCTCGGCAGGTAAGCCGTTGAGTCCGACAGCCCCGTGGAGTGACAGTCCAGAAACAATATCTCCTCGTCTTACCGGAGTGCCTCTGCAGTGATTCCAAAAGCAGGAGGGGGAGTAAGGAGACACATTTGTTAGGATCATCAAGCTGAAAATCTTGTTCCAGTACATGCGGTGTGATAGTACCCTGCCAGTTGCCATCGGGACGTGTCCGTGCTACCGATGCTCACGTCCAAGATTCGCTAGTCATTCTAGTTAGTGGAACATTCAGCCACATCAGTCATGCTTTCTTGTGAGCGTGCCATTTCCTTCAGGCTGCCAGAGGTTTCTGTGGCTTTCTAACCTGAAGATAGATCTCTGGAAATACTCTTTCAGTGTCTGACCTATATTTATAATCTCTCTCAATTTCCCCTGATTCTTAGGATTTAGCCATCCATCTTTTGCACCCTTGGAGAAGCAGTAGAATGGCTTGACTCTCTGTATGCATCCGGTCCAGATGCCTTAGCATTAATTGTACAACCCTCACGGCTTCCCCGTGCTCTGGGGGCTTTTGTTATGGACGTAAGCAGAGGCCTGCTGGAGGAAACAAAGCCAGGTGGGACACAGGCTCATCCACAGGATGAGGGCTCAGCCCCTTCCACCCAGGATTCCCAGCAACAAGTCATACTGCCCCCGATACCAAACATCATCATCTCCTCCTCCTCCTCCTCTTCCTCCCAGCATTTATATCCCACCTCTTCCTCTGAAAAAGAATTCAAAGCTGCTTACAAGGTTCTCATTCTTTCCATTTTATCTTCACAATGGCAGCCCTGTGAGGCTGAGAGTCTGTGACAGGCCCAAAGTTACTCAGTGAGTACACCATGGCTGAGCAGGCCTAGAACCCAGAGCTCCTGGATATCCAGTCCAAGACTAACCACCCTACCAGCTCTAGTCCATCAGGACTAGTAACCACTGATAGCCGCCGCCTCCTCCATAAACCATCCATAAGGCTGTCCAAGCAGGTGGCCCTCACTCCTTGTCGAGAAAGTCAAGTCCTTCGTTTGACTATATGCTTGGTATAGAAGCATTTCCTTTCATCTGTCCCAAATCTCCCATTATTCAGCTTTGTTAGATGACCCTTTTGTTTCCAGTATTACAACACAAGGAGAAAACTGACTCCCTGTCCTCATTTTCCATGCAGGGCATAATTTTATATCCTTCCCTCACATCCCTCAACTTCCCCGCCCCCACATAGGGTGGTTGCTCCAACACTTGTGTGTATCCTTTTCGTTTCCCTTTTCCAGCTCTGTTATGTATAAACCTCATGCTTTGAGATGAAATGCATGCATGCAAACATGCAAGCAGCTTTCTTACCAAAACGGATATGCTTTGCAAAGCAACAGGCACCAGCCTTGCAGTGAAACTACCACCCCCAAAAATCCTTGTCCACCTTTGAGGGCAGTTAAGTAGGCAAGAGGGCCTTTTCCACGGTGGCCCCGTGACCCTGATATGGGTTGGCCTCAGGAATCCATCCAGAGGAAGGCCCTGAAGATGTGATTTGTTTACTTTGATCTCCCTCTGATTATGCTTTATTGAACTGTTCTGCTGTGTAGTTCTAAGCATGTTACAGGTTGTTGGTAATGATTTACTGTTGGTGAGTCTGCTTTTTAATGAATGTGTGCTGTCTAAATGTTTCAGCTGAATTTGAATTTTAATGTTGGAAGCCCTTTCAGGAGGGCTTCTGCTCAGAATGGTGGCCTAGAAATAATTTAAATAAATAAAGGTGAAGAAATGAACAGCGAAAGTGGAAAATGCACTTCTCTTCACTCCAGCTCTGCTTTCTAAAAGCATTAAAAGGCCTCTAAACTAGAAAGGTCTGTGCTAGATTTTAATACTGTATGCAAAGTAGGAAAGCCATTTCTAAAGTTGTCTCAGTAAGCCATTTAGGCATTTTTTATACCTAGCAGTATAGAAATACTACAAATAATAAAAATACTACAGACATATATTTTGAATCTTTAAAAATGAATAATAGATTAAGGACACAATGCTGCGCAAGTTAGTCAGAAAAACGGCCTGCAGATCTGAGCACCTTCCACCATTTTTGTCAACAGTAACAGGGATGAGCATCTCTTGTCAGATGGGGGCATTTTGACATCCCAGATGGTCGTCCTGCATGATGCAACCCACGTGTGGTGGGATTTCTTTTAATGCTGTAGAAGAGTAGCACAACCCACACTTTGTGCTGTGGCCATCACAGTATTTGATGGCATCTTGCGTTGTGCCACTCAGCTTCCCTCTTTCCCTCGACGCGGAGCAGCCCCAAACACCTGCCAGCACGGCTTGTCCTGCAGGGCCCGCACTGCCGACATCTACAAGCTTAGCAGTTCTTTGGGAAGCTCCAGGCAAAGAATTGGTTTTCTTCTTTTGCAGGGAAGAAATCCAGGAGCTGACAGCAAAGGTGCGAGAACTGGAGGGAAACCAAGAAAGGAATTATGGACAGGCTGGAATCGATGCCACAGAACGCTCCGGTCAGGTAAAACCCACAGTTGGATGTGTCTGGTACAGCGTGTGGTCTACTGTTGACTCATCTGGCGTCTGTTGAAACCTCTGTGTGGGCTGCCCCGCGTTGTTTGGCTGTGGGTTTTAATCGTGTCTTGGATCACTTCCCTCCTAAGGCCTCCCTCCAGCCAAGTATTGAATGTTACATTTACGGTGTGTGAAAGAGCGTGAGAGCCTTCGGTACTTTCACAGTATAGGCTGGTGAAAGATGACGGATTGCCTCTGAACAGTAGAGGCTGGACTGCTGGAAATGGATAGCTTCGGAGATCAATGGAGACAGAACAGCTTATCGCCAGTAACTTGGCCAGGAGGTCTCTGTCCTTGCTTGCTCCCACACTGATTTGTTAATGGCAGGAAACTCCTCCGTGCGGACAGGAAGCACTCCCTCTCTGTCTTGGCTTCCGTGCTGGATCAAGGCTTGGGACTGGTGTTTGTTCTCTCCCTCCTCCATCCGTGCCTTCCCCTTCTCCCTCTTAACCGTTCTTGTCCCAATCCCTTCTTTCACTCCTCCAGTTCTTACCGTACTGCTTTCCTTCTGCCATTTGCCAAGCCCGCCCGCCCGCCCTCCCTCTGCTTTATCCCTCACACACAGGGTCCTTCCCCTGCTTTTCCATCCCTCTGTTCAGCCATTCACTCTTTAATTCTCTTCAATTCCAAACGTAAAATGTATATTGATTCCCAGTTTATTGTTTAGCCTTGCAGCCACACACTTTGAATACATTGCTAAACTTTAGGTTAGCACTTTGAGATGAACAAGGTCAAACCTCACGCTCACATTCTCCCACCTCTTTCTTTCGATCAGTTCTGAAGAGGAGACCGGAAGCATCCGCTTCCCGCTTTAAATTAACTGCTGGAAGCTGATTTGCTGATGTATCTGAAATGGTGCAAGCTACAGTCATTTTAAACCATGCTTTATTGCAACAAGCAAGGTCAGACTGTGGTTTCTGACCTTAGTGGGTGTCAATCAATCAACTTAAACTAACCACAGTTTGTGGTTCAGCTGTAACAGCAAACCGCAGTTAATTCAAACCAGGAAGTGGATGCTTCCATATGCCTCCTCTTTCTGGAGTGAAGGCCACAGCATGCAAGCCAAGCCTTTATCAGGCTGATTCACATAGCGTTAAGCCAGCCTTCCCCATCCTGGTGCCCTCTGGGTACTTTGGGCTACAACTCACAGCCTTCCTGTCTGTCAGTCATGCTAGTCGGGGCTGCTGGGAGTTGAAGCCCAGTCCTCTGAAGAGAACTGTGTTCTCTCTCCTCCTCTCTCTGCCTCTCTGTGTGCATATGAAAGAGAGGTGGCTGTTGTACTGCTGACTGCTTTCCAGGGTTTTTTTTGGCTCGGCAGAAGCTATTATTGAGTGAAGAAGTGCAAGGCATAACAAAACAAAATCTAACACCCTGTTCAACAGTGATTTCATTCTTCCCAGTGCCTAATCGCTGTGGCAAATCTAGCGCGGTACAACAGCAACTCTGCTGCAGCCCGAAAGTTAAACTTGGTGTGATATTTACTTAGGTTATCTTTCAAATAACCCAGCAAAACTGCTGTTGAGTCAAGGGTACAAGTACGAGCTTGAGAGGTATCTAAGTTTTACTGTGCCTTGTCCCTGTTATCCAACTGGGACAGATCAGATCAGACAGTTATCAGATCAGAACTCCAAATGCAGAAAGATGATGTTCTCTTTAGGTATTTGGCTAGTATTTCGAGTAAATACAATTAAAAGCATGTTCTTTTTGTTTGCATTTTGGCTGTTCCTGTTATTTACATGGAATTTGGGGCAGGGATTGATAGCTGTTGATAGAACTAGGAAAGGACAAATATTGGTTCACGGTTGGGCAAGATCTGACACAAATACGAATGTCAGTGGATTAATGGCAGCTGAAGCTTGGGGAAAGAAACTATTTGCAAGCTGCTGCTAAAGATTTCAAACCTGAATAAATGCCTTGCTACACTTAGGATGCTTCTGGTTGTTTTATAATAAGCTCTAATATAACATGTTCTATAATGCGCCTTATTTTAATTGTGATGCTCCTGACACAAATCAAGAAAGAAAGAAACCTGAATTGCTTGGATCTCCAGAACATGTGACTGGGGATCTTTAACATCTAAAATCTGGTGTGCCCAAGCATTTATCACAAAATAAGAGTTAGAATTAAAACCCCAGAAGAGCTGGCCAGTTTTCTAAAAGGTTCACCCATGGGAAATTGCATGATTCACTGGTTTTCCTGATGCTCAGCAGCTCTTGGCCAGTCGGCTGTGCTGCAGCTCAGCCCAGCGTTGTGTTGTCTAGATACTTCACACCTTGTTTCTGCATCCCAGCAGTGCCAGGCTTGACTGTTTCCTTCATTTTGCACAAATCCCACAGAAGAATCCATCATTCAAAAGCAGGCAGTGGTTCTTTGCTGCTGGTGGTTCAAGGGTGCTCAGAACCGAGCGCAGAAATACCAACATCCTTTCAAACGCTGAAGAATATATTCAGGGCCTCACTCCTGTGTGTCCTCATTCCTTTCTCAGAACCCAGAGTTTGCTCCTGGACCCTCCTCTTTGCACGCAGCTGCTGAACGTGCAGCAAAAGAGAAGGCTGTGAGGCTCATCCAGTCTGTTTTCCGGGCTCATGTGGCACGCATGCAACTTGAGAAAAAGTAAGTCGTTTATTTTTATGAGACATGGATTTTAGTGCTCCCTGTATCAAGTTTGTCCTCGGGTGTTGAAATAGGGCTTGTTTGCACAGTTAAGGGCCAGATCACAATCTTGAGGCAGTTATCCTCCAGAAGCAATCCATGCCTTCCCAGGCAAGGAATTCCAGGCTTTCTCAGCAAAACGACATGGTGTTTTTATGACTGCCCAGTTGTTTGCAGCTTGCTGTGTTTGCCTTCAGAGCTGTTAGCTTCTCTCTGCAGAAGAAGCTGAAGGCTACTGGCAAGAGGCCGACCCCGGGTTCTGTCCTTAGAGAATCACAGGAAACACAGCCTGGTGCACTGAGCTGTGGCCCGCCTGTGGCCACCTGCCCAACTTGGAAAGGCCTTTGCAAGCGATTGTTTCAGCCCTCCGGCAAGAGCAAAGGAGGAGAGGGAGAAGGAGCAGCCCCAGCCAGCACCCGTGCAGATCCCGTGGCAGGTGGCCCTGGAGGGAATGTGGCCCTTTGTCGAAACATAGGATCCCCCAGACCGCTCTGCCCCACGAGATCATATATCCAGCTTCCTAAGAACATAAATCAGTGGTGTGGGCCAAATTTAATCGCTCCAGGCTTTCCCAGGTGGTCACACCCTCAGCCCGTCCCCTTTCCTTCAACCACCAATCATTTGATGCTTCCCTGGCTTTTGCTCTACGTTCCTGCTGCTCTGAAAAGGTCGACATGTCTTCCTGAGGCTAGGAAGAACTTTAGGCTAAGCCAGCCTTCCCCAGCCATGTGCCTTCCAGACCCTTTTGGGTAGCAGCACCCAGGAGTTTGAGCCAATCTCTCTGCTGGATGGGAATCTGGGGGTTGTTGTCCAAATGTCTCTGAAGGCCACCGGGTTGGGAAAGGCTAGGCTAAACTACGCTGGGATTTTGACTCCACCCTTTTGGGCTCTGACCCTGCCCGCCACTGGAATGTGGCTCCCAAGAGCTTCTCTGATGTTGGATTTGGCCTGCAAGTTGAAAGAGGGTTCCCACCCAGGCTGGCTGGCTGGCTGGCTGGCTGGCTGGCTGGCTGGCTGGCTGGCTGGCTTTCTTTGTTTATTTAGAGTTTTTATATGCCGTCCTATTGCTTAATGCCTCGGGATGGCTTACATAAATAAACAACAGAGTGAAAAGTACAGATTATACAAATTAAAAAACCCAATTCATTCCTGCTGCAAATTAAAACCTATACTTAATATTAAACGTTAATATTTAACAGGTCTTAGCCTGGTGCTGAAAAACAAATAACGACGGCCCCAGGCGGACCTCTCTGGCAGCGCATTCCATAGATGGGGCGCCACCGCAGAGAAAGCCCTCCTCCAGGTACTTTGCCTCCTGATGTCTTTCACGGAGGGCTCCTGGAGGAGGGCCTCTGCTGCCGATCTCAAGGGGCGGGAGGGCAAATATGGCCGCAGGCGTTCCTTCAAGTATCCAGGTCCCAAGCCGTTAAGGGCTTTGTAGGTGATAACCAGCACCTTGAACTGAGCCCGGACTTCGATGGGAAGCCAGTGAAGCTGGTAGAGGACTGGGGTTATGTGAGAATAATGCCCAGTCCTCGTCAGCAACCTGGCTGCTCTATTTTGGGTTCCTTGAGTCACACCACATACCCTACTACCTTCATTCCAATTGGCAGTGGTTCTCCAAGGCCTCAGAAAGAGGACCATTCCAAAGAGGGCCCATCCTTTCTTCCAAAAGTGGCTACGCCTTTTCACATGGACTAGGAGATGATCTTGCCTGCATTTTTCCCGTCTCCCTTGAATCCGATTGAGAGGTCCCTGCATACTCTCGACGTCCAGCGCTGCCTAGCCTTCTATAGATCAAGGACTGAGTCTATTCGACATTCCAATAGGCTCTTGGTTAAATACCCGGAACAAAATCAGGGTTTCCCAGTTACTCCTCCGAGACTGTCCAAATGGATCGTTCACACTATTACTCTGTCCTGTCGGTTGGCCAAGATAGACTTCCCTACAGTTCCCCGGGGTCATTCCACTAGAGCCGTAGCTGCTTCCTCAGCTTTTGCGTCGGGAGTCCCGATCGAGGATGTCTGCAGAGCTGCCACCTGGGCAGCTACTCCACGTACTTTCGCTAGGCATTATAGACTGGATGTTCATGCTAGACAGGACTGCTCCATTGGCAGAGCCGTTCTTGCATCTATTCTTCGTTGATGGCACCTCCCTCCACCATTTCGGGTAAGCTTGTTATTCTGCCCGGATGTGTGATGCACAGAGGCCACGACGAAGAAGAGCAGGTGGCTTACCTGTAACTGATGTTCTTCGAGTGGCCATCTGTGCAGTCACACAACCCGCCCGCCGGCCCCGCTTGGTGTCACTGGGTGGCTCTAACTTTTTCTTCGGTACCGTGCTATTTTTTGCTCTTCATACTTCCACGGTATTTTTCTTCCCACTGTCGATACCGATGAATTTTTTCTGTTAGTTTAGCTGTTATTTAATTTTTTCTAGAGAGCGAATGTCCGGTCTGTCAAAGACTGGAAAATGGCGGACACTCCGCTCCATATATACTGCTAGGGGGAGGGGAGCCGAGTTTCCTGCCAAACAGTTAGCTATCAATCTTCCGGCCAAAGGCACTGCGCAGGCACAGAACCCATATGTGTGACTGCACAGATGGCCACTCGAAAAACATCAATTACAAGTAAGCAACCTGCTTTTCTTTCGACTTGTTCTACGTCTGCAGTGTGGGAAATAGTTGTCCCCCCCTCCCACGCACAGACATGGTATTTCCCACCCCTCCCAGTGGCTCTAAATTTCAGTGGATGTTTTCCATGTTGTAATTAAACAAAGTGATGGCTATTTCAGATGCCCACCTGCCTGCTTACCCCCCCCCCCCCATTTGATTTAGAGCTGCAGACCTGTGCAAGCACTTTTAAGCTGGACCTCTTGAACATTCGACTTCAGTCTCTGCTGTGAAGCTGTTTGGCAGTTCATGCCAGTTCTCCACCTATTTTGCAGGCTTCAGATCTCCAGCCCCGAGAGCAACACAGCAAGCCCCGCTGGCCACAGCGGAGAGGAGAAGCCGGTCTGGTCTCTGTTCAGACGCTCACCTCTAACCTTCACTTCAGCCCTTCCTGGTAAGCTCACTTATTTCCTCCGTCTGGGCTTGCAGTCCCTCCCATGTGTGCACAAGCACTTGTTGGATTCTGGACCATGAATCTTGCCTAAAAGGCGGGTGCTGCGTATCTAGCGGAGTGGTCCCCTGACCCACCTGGGGAGCCGCTGCTTTATTTCGCCCCCAGGCAAGCCAGCCTCTTGCATTTGAGGTGAGAAACAGCCATCCTGCCCTCCTCGGAGACTTTCAGCTCTCTCTGGGTGACTGAGTCCTGCTAGGCCCACGGGGGTGCTGGCTTCCTACTAGGCAGTAGGCAGGTTACTGCTTGGCTTCTCAGCCAGAGCCTCACACACACAGTGCGTCGGCCCAGTCAATCCAGCAAGTGTGTATCTGTTGAAAGAGGTGACATCCCGCCTCTTCGGGCAAGTTCCAGCTGGAGGTAGGGCCTTCCCTAAACTAGCTGCCCCTTTTCACTCCAGAGCAGAAATCCCCTGCTGGGTAGAGGAATCCCGCTTCCGCCTCAGAGGGGCTCCAAAGAAGCCCAGGGCTTCTCAGCCTCTCAGTGGAACAACCCCGCCATTGATTTTCAGATTGCGATAACTTTTATATGTTGACAGTTGCTGCATCACATTGATTTTTTGTTTTCTGCGCCAGCCGCAGAGTACGTATCAATTACTGTTTACTTCATAGGGCTGTTGTGAAGGTTAATAACTGCCATCATTTAATTGCTCGACAGTCCTAGGCGAAACCAGCCCTCCAAAAGGCTGTTCAAGCATTTCAAGCCAAGGGCCGGCCCATGGGGCTGGGGGAAGGAAAAGCCGCTGGCTGTGGTGCCGATGCCGTTTATCACTGCAGTTGGAATTGAACAGACGATATACAAGTGGATGGCTTACCTATTAAGTCTCCAGTGGTGGTTGGCCTTTCACTCTGGCTTAGAGCAAGCTTCTGTCTTGTACTAAGCATAGCAGAAAATCCTTTAGTATGGAGGACTGGAAGTTATCTCCGTGCTTGGATGCTTATTTCCTTCCTCTCACCCTGTGTGATTGATTGCATTACCTCATGGTTAGCTCACGTAACGCTTCCTCTGTGTTTGGCCTTAATGCCCATCTATGGATTGATCATACCAGGAAGAAATGCATTGAATTGTTGGTGTGAGAGGGGCACAGAAGTGGGGACCACACTCATACAGGGCTCATGGTTTGGAAGATTGTCTGAATGTAGCTCCCCCTCTCCCTCCCTGTCTTGTGCATAAATAAATACTACACACATTGATTTATCCATGCTTCAAACTAATAATTATTAAATATATAACCTGCCTTGTTTTCACAAGAAACTGAAAGTGGCTTACGATTACATAATCCTTCTGCTCTCCATTTTAGCCTCCCAACAACCCTGTGAGGTAGGTTAGGCTGAGCACTAGGGCTAATTCTTCTGGTTAGTATCTGGAACAAGCAATATTAGCTTGCGCAGGTGAGAGTTAGGGAGTGGTCCAGAGTTACTCATTAAGCTTTGGAGCTGAGAAGGACCTTGAACCCAGTTCTCCCTAATCCAAGTCCAATATGCTAATCACAATGCTTCACTCGGCATTCAGTCATTATTAGTCTTTTGAGAGGCCAGTGATAAACATCCGACACTTCTTTCAATTATGATTTCCATCATAAATGATGTTATTTCCTAAGGTAGAACACTGCAATAGTTCCAAGAAACTTCCTGTTGAGCCGAAGTCAGCAAACAAGCAGCATTTTAGCTGATAGGACAATGCATATTAAGATGGTAGAAAATTGGCCTTGAAAGATGTTTGACCTGGATAAATGTTGACTGTTTAAGGTACCTTTAGCTGTATGCCAGGTAAATGAATTCATATAATGGATGGGAAGTTCAGGTAAACGAGGCTCAGGAAACAGTGGTTAAGGTGCATGTTGCGCTTGGCTTTTAATTGCTTAGTGTCTAAATATGATGGAAATCTACAGAAGGGGGTCAAATGTTGTTGCATCAAACCATAATTAGAAATTTCCCTTTTTTTCAGAAGGCCCTGAAATGAATATGTAGAGGTTGGGTTGTCGCAGAGGATTGCAAAAGCACAAATGCAGCAAAACAATGAAGCTAATAATTGGTTGTGTCTCATTTCAGAGACAGGATTTGACCTTGTCAGATCCAAGCAATTTGTTTTGGGCCCCAGACTGCTAAATTTGTCTGTTCCAAGGGAACCGTTTTTTGTTAGCTTCTGTCCTGAGCAAAATTAGTCCATAAGTCACCCCCTTCAAAATTGCTCTCTCCATCTCCACGCACACGTTTCTCTCTCAACCCCACTACCCATAAGGTTCCATGTGCGTGTGTCATCTTGGACATTTAAAAAGCAAACAAAACAAATCTTAGATTTGGCTACAGTCTGCAAACAGTTTCTCAAAACAATTACCAAGGTTCAAGAGGGTGGCTTGCATAATAGCATCAGGAAACCCCTCCTGGGTAAGGGGCCCAAACCATCGCTCAGTGTGTAGAGCACCTGCTTTCATTGCCCACCTTCCCCAGGTGTCATCCCTGGCCTCCCCAGTCAGTACCCAGGCTCTGTCCTCAGTACACAGCAGCTTCTTGTGTTCCTGTGTCTCTTCTGGTCAGACGCAAGATTCACCTCGTCGAGCATCCTTGCCACCAGAGTGGGGGGTCAGCTGATGGGACCCCGACAAGACAGGCACTCTTTCTCAGGGCTTTTTTTGTCATAGAACGCACCGGAACAGCGTTCCGGCACCTTTTTTTGACGGATTTTTCCAATGGAGTGATTCTGAATCGCCTGCGGGCTGCTTGTGTGTTGGCGCTGATTATCGGCACTGATTGTGAGGGCGCTGCTCGGCTTGGGGTTGGTGTGTGTGGTTGCACGCCGAGTGCTTACTGCTGACGGCGACCATTATGTTTGTGTGTGTGTGGAGTGACTGGCTTCGTGCAAAAGGTAAATAAATTCTTTATTTCAACAAAAGTTGGTGAATTGAAAATCTTTTTTAGTGTAAAAGTATGACCCCAAGACGTGAGTTCTAGCACCTTTTTCTTTTACAAAAAAAGCACTGCTCTGTCTAATGACAAATCCTGTCATTCAAACAGAAAAGGAAAGCAAATAAGCAAGCATAGGCCCCTCCCTCAGGCTTACCAGTGAAAAACACAAAAATGAAGTTAAGGCATACAAGAGGAGGAAAGTAGAGAGAGAAAATGTAGAGAAGGGAAATCAGATTTGCAGTGTCAGAAAGAAGTAACGAGTTAACACCACTTTGGGGGCCGACCCTTCTTCTCTGGTTGCTGAGATAGAGATGACTCAATTTCCTGGTTCTGGCTCTTGCTGGATCCCATAATATAAAAGCTTTTATGTATGTTTTTCAGGGAACATGACTTTTCTAATGTTCCTTTTCTCTCTCTAATTTTCAGGACTGGTGATAAATGTTTCTGTGTATATTGAGCAAATGCTTCAGTGCCAAATACTGCTTACAATACATGCAACCATTTAAGAAGGACTCATCTATTAAAATCAGCCTTGCATGGCCAGTGGTGGCCATCTTTTTTCTTTCTTTTTGCTTAGAACAGAAATGCGAGCAAGAAAGGGACAGTAAGAATTACATGCAGCTGTGAGCCATTCTGGAAACCAAATGGTCCCAAAAGCAGCATTTTCCCCAGAAGACGTGTGTGTTTGCTCAGTTTCCCCCCTCAGTTCTCCTGTTTCCTTCATTCTTTCAGTCACACCCTTGCCGAATCGGCTGCAGTCCTCTCCCCCAGCTCCTACGGAAGAAGTTGAGTCAGATGACTCGGATGATATAATCACAGTGCTGACGTCACCAGCGCAGAAAACACCGCCACTGGATTTCCGCAGCTCCATGGCACAACCTCCAGTGCAATCCTAGAACAGAAGTCCTCTTGACTTGCCAGAGCAGGTGAAGCTGTCCAGTGTGTGATTGGTGCAGAGCTTTGTTCTCCCCAGGGAAGAGAGGTGGTTTTCATGCAGATTAACGGGGGCAAAATCCACTTCCTCTTGGTTCACATCCACTGGGAAATTCTGCCCTCGCTCCTCCCTTACAACTGCCAGAGAGGGTAGCTTCAAAGAGTGCCCCCCCCCCCTTCCCCAGCTTCACTTGAAGTTTAAAATGATACGCTCCAAGAAGCAGTCAAATGAAATTTGCTGAACATGCAGATCAAGGATGAAAGTGAAGCTTCCTTAAATACTTCCCGAAGAGGCAGATTTTAAAGTGGTTGTTTACTTTCCAGAACAAGCATGAAATAGTAACATATACATAGACTCATCCATACAATTAACTCAAACCAACAATTTTAGCACATCTTAATTAAGCGTAGTACAGACACGTGTTTACGACACAGAGCCCCTGTCTGTCAGCACCTGATGTAAATCATTCCTTAGAAAGAACCAGCATCTTCTTTCCTTGGGGGAAGAGAAGTTTGCGGAACAGCAAAGACTGCAGTCCGTTCGAGATCCACACGGCAGGGTCTCCTCCGTACACGCCTGCTGCCTCTTGCTTTGACATAACCCCACTCTTAGTTCTGCTGGCATTGCCTGCAGCTGGCACCCCAAGCCTTGGGGTGTTGTGTCATGTGGTGTGTAAGGTGTATTGTCGTATCTTGGTGGGTAAGTGTGGGCTGCAGCGTTTCTGCCCCATCACTGCATTTTCCTTGTAGGGAAAGCTGAATTGTCAGCAGTGTCATGGGGACTGCAACTCCTATTAGTAAGCCCAGCAGATGCTTGCATCTGCTTGATGGCATCTTAAGAAGAGAGCCACCTGATGAAGGGCACCCTCCCACGCGTGTTTGCTCAGACGTGTCCTACTGTTTTCACTGGGGTTCGCTCTGGAAGTGGCACACACAGCAGAGACGCTGCCTTCCAAAGCCTCGTTGCCTTCTTGGAATCAGGAGAGCAAAGACACCTGCAGGTCCTCCCCACTGAAGCAGAGGCTGCTGCAAAGGGATCTGCTCCCAGCTCCAGCAAGTCACAGCTCGGGCCTGCCCTGAAGGCAGCACCAGCGGACTGGCAGCTTGCGCCTGTGTTGCCCTGCACAAAACAATGAAGCCGAGGAGGATCCCCCATCATGAGAGACCTGTAGAGCGAGGCCAAACTAGAATCCCTCTGAGACCTTTGCCTCTGGGAAGTGCATGAGCAGAGTCTCCCCACTGCTGCTTTTCAGCATCTGGTTAGCATTCAGTGGCCTCTGCCGCCACCAAATCCCTTATCACCACGACAACAGATGCCTGGCTCTTGGGTGCAGCTTCGTCTGCAAGGGGTTTGTGACCCTTGCTGACCTGGGAGGAAGGACACTTCTCCTTCACTGGCTGGAGCCTCATGGCCTGTACAAGACTGTCGCTTTGCACAGAGCCAAGGAAGGGCAGCCACTGGCTCTTGGAACAGCTGTGGCCGCAGGAAAGAAAAGCCAGAATGACCATTTGGATTTTCTGTAAGCATCACGCTCTGCTCCTTGGAAGATACTGCTTTGTGCTCAGACTCCAGTGCCTCTCCTCTCTTCCAGCCCACCCCGCCAGCAACCTGAGCATCAAAGAGAGAGAGATGCTCCCCCCCACACACATGCACACACGCACACGCTGAACACTTTAAGTCAGGGTCGGAGTCCGTTCTTTATCTGACACTTACTGTCACCCACGCCAGCCAGCGCTTTCAGCCAAGAAGGACGGCTGCGGCACAGAGCAGAGGAGTTTTGCTTAATCCCATCAGCGGAAACGCCGCCCTTTGTAGTGTTTCCAGAGGCAGCTGCTGGGAGCTGTCCAGAGCAAAGTCAATCAGCAGAAATTGGTTTACACCATGGAGTAAATTGATTCCAGCTGCTGCTCCATTCACATGATGATCCTGGCCAGGAACAGGAGGGGGCCCTGGCGTGTTCCTGGACTGGCGTGTTTTCAGAACAACTCTGTGTACAGCTCGGCACTCCCCATCAGGTAGGGACAAATCCTGGCACCTCCAAGTTCTGTACTGAATTGAGAACAGCAGCAGACTGGAAACTCGTCATCAGAGCTCAGGGAGAGACGCTGCAGATGGCAGTGAATCGTTGGACTTTGATGGATAACTCGGAGGGTGTGTAAGGGCCAAGACAGGAGCGAAACGTTTCCCAGACGCCGATCCTCAGGGAGCTTCTGGTATGAGTAATCTGATGGACTCATCTTCTTTCTCACAGTGCAAGCAGTAATAGAGAGCTAATAACAAAGCAGTTAGAAGGGGCGTGTGGGAAAAGAGGCTTGTGTTTCTGCAGGACCGGGAATCGCTTTCAGTTTGGTCCATCTGCCGGGGTTCCACCCCCACCCTACAAAGCATGCACTGAAGAACTCGTTAGAGAGGGTGGCAAAGTAGGGATCCATCAGGTTCCAGGTTCCAGCGAAGTTGATCAGCTGACGGCATGGTTGTTGTAGCAACCGTGAATTTTAAAAAGCTGCATGGGTCAAAGGGGACACCCCATCTCTCTTCCCTACGGACTTCTGTCTGCTTCACTGTCCTCCTGCTAAATTCCACAAGATCTGACATGGTGGCGAGTCTCTCACTGGTCTGTTTTCCTCCCCTTCTTAAAAAGCCTGATCTTAGATGACTCCTTTGTAACTCTGTTAGTGTTTTGTTTTGTTTTGTTTAGCATAATCCACTCTGGAAATGTTTATAGAAAAGAGGTGTACATACATTTCAGATAAACTCTGCTTTGAATCTCAGCCCTCATTGCTTTATAATATTTTACTGTTACAGAGTTAATTGTTGGAAGTGGAAACTCCAAGTAGATAATGGAGATGGGACCTTGATTTTCTCCAGAGACATTTCCCCTAATGAAAAAGGAGGTTCCACAGACCAAAACGTGTAATTGCTTCAGCCCTGGAACTTAGTGGATGCATATTGTCTGGGAAACTCTTGGCTGTCATGACTTTCTAGCGTGCTTTAAGTACACATCATAGGCATCTTTGGGATTGCGAAACCCTGGCTTAAGATAGCCCTGTGTCCATAGTTGCTGGCACGGTAACAGTCACATTTTATTTATTTATTTATTTATTTATTTATTTATTTATTTATTTATTTATTTATTATTTAGAGAACTTATATGCCGCCCCATTCGCCGAAGCCTTGGGGCGGCTCACAATCATAAATAAATAACATAATATAAAACAATATAATTTAACAGTATAACAGTAAAATTTAAGTCGCCCTGGCCAAAGAATAAAATAAATAATATTAACAGTTAAAATAACGTTTGAATAAAAAGGTCTTCGCCTGGCACCGCAAAACAAATGACGACGGCGCCAGGCGGACCTCTCTGGGGAGCGCATTCCATAGATTGGGCACCACCGCAGAGAAGGCCCTCCTCCGAGTACTTACCCTCCTAATGTCCTTCATGGAGGGTTCCCGGAGAAGGGCCTCTCCCGCTGATTTCAAGGGGCGGGCGGGCATATATGGACATAAGCGCTCCTTCAGGTAACCAGGACCCAAGCTGTTAAGGGCTTTATAGGTCATAACCAGCACCTTGAATTGGGCCCGGACTTCAATGGGAAGCCAGTGAAGCTGACGGAGAACTGGAGTCATCTGAACATAACGCCCAGTCCCCGTCAGCAGCCTGGCAGCTCTATTTTGAACCAATTGAAGTATCCGGACCGTCTTCAAGGGCAGCCCCACGTAGAGCGCGTTACAGAAGTCAAGTCGGGAAGTCACCAACACGTGTGTCACTGTCGCCAGGCAGTCGTTCTCCAGGTAGGGGCGCAGCTGGTGGATCAGCCAAAGCTGAAAGAAAACGCTCACCACCGCTGTCACCTGAGCTTCCAGTGAAAGCTCTGGGTCGAGGAGCACTCCCAAGCTGCAGACCTTGTCCCTAAGAGGGAGTGCAACCCCATTCAAGCCTAGGTTCAGTTCACCTTCCCCGAAGCCCGATCCGCCAACCAACAGGACCTCCGTCTTGTCTGGATTGAGCTTCAGTTTATTGGCCCTCATCCAGCCCATTACCTCAGCCAGGCACCGGTTCAGCACAGCCACTGCCTCACCTGGATC